GAGGACATTCCTCCGAACACGAGCCAACGTGTCTTACGATGCTCTCCCCTTAGGGGAGGCGCTTCCACGGACGTCTCCACCCAGCGTTAACCTCTTGCACCCAGAACTAAATTAAGAGTCGTTCCGGTCGACGTTTTTTTTTGTCACCGGCACTCGAACCTTTTTTTCCTCCCCAAACCCTGCTCAATCCATCGAAAGTATCAACCCGTTATATTTCTTCGCCATGTCTAAATATCTCAGATCTGTATTCTCAAGATATCTGTCTTGCTTTAATACTGAACCGTGTATAAATTACATTGTCAGTGCTTTATTCCTCAATTCCTTATTTAAGTAATTAAACTGACACTTTGTCTCTTGCAACGGTAAATAAGTTAAATATAAGAATGCGATACAGTTAATTAATTTTATTATTTTCGTTTTACGCTCACACGTAGAATTTCCCGCGATTATATTGAGTATTTTATTACAGTTTACTCATATTTACGTTCACGTTTTCAACGAACGTGTAATCTCTTCCTGTGTTCATCATGAAATTTGATCTTAAGGCAAAGTAGAATCGTCTATCTATCATCTATCTACCACGGTGTATTGTTCTCCCCTTTCACGTGCCTAAAAACAGCAACAATGCGGCGGAACATAATCGAGGCGCGCGTGCAACGCCTATTCCCGCATAATGATTCACGTACCGTGAATAGAGAATAGTCATTAAGCCGCGTCGTCCCGGTGTCATTGCACCCTAGATCCTAGAGGACGCATTGGGGAGCCGAAAGGAAAGCGCAGACGGAAAAGTTGGATGTAGGTACACGTAAACGGCTGAAAATCTTGGACGTCTTGGCGCCCGGCCAAGAGATCTCCGCGCGGCTCATCTTCGGCCTCGTCTTCATCCCTCATCCTCCGGTGGGCGCTCCTTCCGCGGAAGGCGGCCCACGGCGGACTTTTATTCCGCTTTCCCGCCGACGCGAGACGCACCGTTTCGCGGAAGCGCGTCCTCGTCATCGTATTGCTATTCTCGGAATCCCGGACAGTTTAACAGGTTCGTCCGATTACGAATCTCCTAGGCGCATGAGTGTTTAGCTGCGAAAATTCTTTCGGAGGATTGATTATTATTTCGTCGATGTCTGTGGTTTTGCTGTAAATGTTTGTGATTTGTGTCCACGGCGTAGAAACTTTTTTAGCAGCCATTTGGTAGCAACGCTCAGTTTTTGTTAATTTCATTATGCAACTCTATTTGGTGCAAAATTTATATCATAAATAAAATTGTGTAAGGCCTGTGTATTTATATATTATAGGAAAAACATTTTTTGTAACTTCAACAAGACTGAGAAATAATTTGTCACAAAATCGTATTGCAATTATATTTTATAAAAATTGCATCGTTCCAAAGGATTTTTGTTTAACTTCATTATGATGTGTAACAAAAAAATTATTACAATTATGATACATGCTACAATTTTTATTTTAATCCATTTATCTACAATACTAGAATGCGAATATATAATTAAAAGTTGAAGAGATCACTCGATTTCGCCTGCCGACATCGAGAGGCAAAAATCGGCGAGTGTCTCTGAGAAACGAAGGAGTTTGAGAAAAATTCGTCAAGGAACAAATCTCGTCGCGAGATTCTAGATTCCGATCTCCTCGGCTTACCTTGTCGCGCCTCGCGGACGGCCGTGGAATAGAAGAGAGGTGGTTTACCCGAAGACCACGACAGCTGCATCGAGCCAGCAGGGCCTCAAAATAGCACGACAACCCCATGCCGAGGCCGCCGCCGGAGGAGCGGCGAAGTCGAAGTCCTCTCTCTTTCTCTCTCTTTCTCTCTCTCTCCTCGCGCACGCTCGCCGCCTTCGGTACCATGCTCCGTCCGCTAGAAAGTCGCCCACCTACGAGCCTTTTAAATAGCGATCGCGTGCTTTTCCCTTTTTTCCGGCACGCGGAAAGTACTTGCTGCCGGCGTCGTGAGGAAAAGAGGGTGGCCGCGCGCGCGGGAGGCCGCTGATTTATAGGAGGAACCGTGCGCGTATCCGGATACTTTACGACACACGATACAGTCACGCGTTCTCGTCTTAAAAACGATCCCGCCGGCCCGTGGAATTACTCCTAATGACTCGGTATCCCCGCCATCGACGTAAAAAATATATCCGCCTCTACACTTATCCATCTTTTTTTCGGGCGAGAAATTACCTAAAATTGGAAACTCCCCTCGTACAAGCTTGTCCCGATTTAGTAAACTTGTATATATCAATGGTAAATTATTACCATCCACGTAGCCATTCTTAACAGTTACCGAAACTGTTTAGATCTCTCATCGACATTCCAGTACAATCCATCTTGATAAAATCGAGCCCTAAAAGCAGATCTCCTTTCTCCAAATTTTCTACGCATCGCCGAATATTTTTCCGCACTCTTTCGGCAGAATCGCACGTGACCGCGGTGGCGATTTATCCGTCAAGATCTTCTCCTCCGTTGTCGTCGCGTATTTCCTCCTCCTCCGCATCTGGGAGCGTTCCAAGAGCGCCGAAAATACGCGAAACGCGTTAGTGGGCGGACGGAATACCTTTGGGCACCTGTAGGATGCGCCGCCGGATAAAGCGCGTAAAGAAAGCCACGAGGTGCCTGGCATTATTAGTGCCGGTTACGTTAATGGATGATCTGCAGTCGAATTGCGTCAGTGGTTGTGAAGACGCTCTTGCTCTCGCTCGCTTACTTGCGCTCGCTCGCTCGTCGATGTGCTTGCAGGAACTCGTGACTTTATTTTTGGCCGTTTCGACGACGATACCGTCGACGATTTACGATACCGTCGCCGGGACACCTGTTCCGCAACTCCCATCTAGAGATTCCTTACGACTGTGCATTTTATCCGAAAGCTCGCAAATAATTATGCTTCACTCCAATGTAGACAGTCGATACGCTCATTTTTTTTTTCCTCAGAGAATTTCGAGTATTTTTTTTTTTATATAACATATGTAGAGAAATGACGCGGGAGAGAGTAAATATATCAAACGGCAGTATAGTACCGTCGAATGTGAATCATAAATTTTCACTGAATTTTAAAAGTCGCGAATTCTTGAAAAATGAGTGTACACTATAAACTTCGCATTTATAACTATTAATACCAATTTTAAATGGAGATAAACACATTTTTCACAAATTGAACTAATAATGTATGAAGAAAAGTTCATCTCTCTCGATTAAACTTTTTTACTAATAAAAGAAATTAAATAGCAAATTGAAAATAATCATTTATTTCTCAACTCGAATTAATCATATTTTTAAATATCCTTTTCTTCGAGTAAAAATGAATAAAATTTGTCCAATTATGCGAAATATTCAATATTTGGTACCGTTCAATAATTGCAAGTAAAAATAGTAATAAACTTTGTAAAGCGAGAAAGCATCATAAGAGAAGCGTCAATAGAAAGCAAATCCAGAAAATTCCACGTATTCTCTAATTTGATGAATACCTCGCATTTAGGATAAGCTTCAGAAAGATCGGAACCTGATTTATTTTTTTTTCTAATTCGCCTTAGGACACACGTTTCGCGCAAAGAGCAAGATACTATGCAGGCAGCGCGGCTTTTTGGTCGACGATTGAATGAATGCCACGCGAGTTAGTCAGCACCGCGATGCTAAATTCGGCGGACGCCTGGCGTCGCGCCAGAAGAACCACCCAGCGCACCAACCTGTGCTTCTACCCTGTAACCGCCGACGAAATGGCGCCGTTATCATATCTGCTCGCCATCGTTCTTCGTTTAAATAACGTCCAAACAGATCGACGAGCAGCGCTGATTTCATCAGACACTCTGGATGTGCGGTAGAAAATTCATGCTATTAAATAGTTGTTTTCCGTTCTTTACTCTTTGCAAAAAGATGTGATATCATCAAAAGTAGAAGATTAGATTGAAAATATTTTGAACTTTAGGAATTACAAACAGAAATAATGATGATCGAATAATGAAATTCATTTTAGATATCCACTCTGCAACAAATAGATACATCTCAATCAAAAATAAAAATTTCTACATTAAAACTAAAAACGCATTCCATTTTCTAAAACATCAATAAAAAGAGCTATTTAAGATTTTACTTAAGATAGTATTTAATGCATAATAAATCCTAGTGCTTTAACTATAAAATCTCATATAAATAAAACAAAATCATGTACATGATATTTTAAAATAACGATAATAAAATATAGAATAGATAATAATAGCTAATTATATGTTTTTTATTATCTTTTTCTCAATCTTATTACCATGGTATACCACATGGTAAATTATAAAAAGAATTATTACAAACCGTACCGCGTCATGTACACTCAGGCAATTAATTTCGCCAATTTGCATTTGATTCAATAATTGCTCCAATTGGCAGGGTCTCGTAATGGACGATAATGAGACGGACAACTTATCGAGAGGAGATAAGGGTAGTTAGCAACCACCCTGCGCGATCCGCGGGGACCGGTCGTGTACCACCCGCGGTCTTTCATCCGCTCCCTCCTCCGCACGCACTCGTCACGCGTGTCGCACATTGCCGACACACCAATAGGATCACCACATGCGCGGGAGGGAACCGGGCGGGCACGCTTCTCTTCTGAGGCGCGTGCAGCTGAAGAAGAAGAAGAAGAAGAAGAAGAACAAGACGACGACGACGACGAAAAGCGCCGCGGCGGTGGCGGCGGCGGCGACGGCAGCGGCAGCGGAGGAGACGGAGGGCGAGGGAGGTTGCGCTGCTATATGTAGCCCCGAATCTTAGCCGGGGCAACTATTGCGCCCGAAATTGCCGAAGCGAACGCAACCCCTGCGCCACTCGACGTACACGCTTTCAAAACGAATCGTAATCCTTCCTCCCGATATCGTGATACACCGGTTCTACCCCGTCTTCGCGTTGCCACCCCTTTATTACAGATAGTAGTCGGTGCAACAAGTGTGTTGGTTTGTGAGTCTTGAATTGATCAGCATGACTTGTGTGCTCTGAGAAGAAAAACCGAGGAGACGAGGAAGATGCCGCGGGCTTTCCTGATCACGCATCGCAGGTACAATGGTGTTGAAGAAGAGATCGCAGGATCTGAAAGAGGTATGCTGTTAATTTGGCATGTTGCAATTTAAAGAAAAAAAATTATGAAGCGTTAATTCAATTAATTATAACAAATCGGATATATTAGAGAAAATAAAGATACAAAAAATTTATTTAAGAAAAAATATTTTAGTGATCAAATTTTTGTTATAGTTTAATACCGTAACCTTTTAATTTTATTTAATAATTATCATAATTTTCAAAAGCTATTAACTAAGTAAAAAAATTTTGATAAAAAATATGCAATTTAAAAAGTTCTAGTTTATATATTTCTCGTAAATTGATTTTAAGTTTAAATTTAATGTTATCTTTAAAATATTTTTTAAAATAATTTTTAAGTGTGTTAAATTAATAATTTGAAGCTGATTTTTTGATGAGAGAATAATAATTACATTTGAATTTAATAATTTATTAATTTTAATTGATATATAATTTTCTTTTGCATTACGTACTCTCTCTCTCTCTCTCTCTCTCTCTCTCTCTCTTTCTCTCTCTCTCTATCTCTCTCTGTCTATTACTAATTAATCTTTCACATTTTTTAATAATTTTCACATAAAAAGAAAATTTCTTTACAATAATAAAACTTAAAATTCTAACGCTTGTAGTCTTAAAAAAAAATTGTATTTGTTATATACGTAACTTTGATATGATAATTCAACATAAAAACAATATATTGATGACATGATTATTGCAAGTTTAATCTAAAAATTCATATTTAACATATTAATAGCAGTGATAACATTGAAAATATCTTTTCTGCATCAGCAAAGTAAATTATTCCAGTAACTGAATCATCTATTAAAATCTCAAAATTCGATGTTTTTCACAGAAGAATAATAATCGCGATGCCAAAATCTCGATTCTTCACGCATCACGCACGTCACATCAAAGTCCTCTTCCTCCTCCCCTCCCCCTCTTCTTCCCTCGACTGAATTTAAGCTGGGGAAATCTGCTGGTCATTGCTTCGCGATCAAGGTGGTGTGTCGCGCGGATTTAAGAATAGGAGACACTAGATGCGTCACACCAGAATCCATCAAGATACATACCGCCGCGATGCCGTCAACCCCACCGCGGGCTTCCTTACGCGAACGCAATGCGTGTGTGTATGTACACGTACACGGTACTACGAAACGAAATACACGGAATAAACGCGTTGCGGTAGGGACGATGGGGGCGAGCGGGGGGTTGGTGGCGTAGCTACTCTATTTCCGTTCTCCTCGAAAACGGAGCAGCGAGCGGAGCCCTGCTCCCGAAGGTGTTTTACAAGTCGCGCCGACGTCGAATTTCCCTGCCCCACCAGTCGGGATTTATCAGAAGTGTTGCACTTGAAATCATCACTTGCGCGATATTCGCTGAAAGGCACAATCAAATGCAAAATAAAAACTTGCTTTTGCGGAAATGAATAATAAAATATGTATAGATAACACCATATAATATATTGCCAAACAACTACCGGTTATATTAAAAACTGTTAATCAAAATAGATTTTGCTACGTTCTTTTGCGAGTATCACCTCTTTTTTTTTGTTTTTATACAGGTTTCAGTCCCGAGAGGAGCGTGAGGCTGGCCGACTACAGCGGCGGTCAACCAACTTCCGATGGCGCCAGCGAGTGCGGCAGCGAGACGTCGTCCGAGTGTCCCGAGGAACTGTACAACCTGACGAAGCTGGCGGAGGTCAGCCTGGCAGCGGCGGCGGGCACCTTAATCCATCACAGCAATGTTATCTATCAGCGACCGGCGTCGCCCAGGATCGCGCAGTATCCCGCGGAGGCGAGCAGGACTCTCGGGCCTCGACCTACCGTTCAAGTGGTGGAAAGCCAAGACCAAGTCCTAGGCGAACGAACGAGGCTCTTCTTCGAGCGGATCGAGACCGAGAGAGACATCCTGGAGACTCGCTCCAAGGATAGCGCCGCCTTGAAGATTCACCTCTCGCCGCGGCATCCTTCTTCCTGCTCCTCGCAGGAGGAATCGTGTCACTCGAAAGTGCCGATCGTCGTCCCCGGTATCGGCGTCGATCCGGCGTCCGTGTCTTCGACCGCGTCGATTCAAGGTCGCAGGACGGCCGCCGTGGAGCCTAAACCGGAGGACAACGAGGATCACGAGTGTCCCGACTGCGGCAAGAAGTACTCGACCTCCTCGAATCTGGCCAGACACCGTCAGACGCACAGGTCGCTGGGCGATAAAAAGGCCAGGAGGTGCCCGCATTGCGACAAGGTCTACGTCAGCATGCCGGCGTTCAGCATGCACGTGAGGACCCACAATCAGGGATGTAAGTGCCACTATTGCGGCAAGTGCTTCTCCAGGCCGTGGCTGCTGCAGGGACATATACGCACGCATACAGGTAACGCTTCTTAACGCGATACCGCTTTATTTACCGCTTTTCTTGACAACTTTAATCATAAACAATTATATAATTTATCACAATTGTACGTGTAATCAGATATTTGGAAAAAATAAAGAATTAATCTTGCTATACCAAGTTCAACTCGATAAAACTTCAGAGTTCGACTCGCGAAGTTGCTGGTTTTTTTGTCGATGACCGATTGCGTTCTCTTACAATAATAGATATTACGTAAATAAACTAAGGCAAACTATTTTTGAAAGGAGTACGATAAGTTTAACGGGGTTTCAATGAAGACAAATTCAAATTAATCATTCACGCGATGTGTGATTTTGGCACGCTCAAACATGCGGTACTATTTTCAACTACAAATTACAGATGTGCAACTGTGAAATCAGTTGACACACAACAATATATTTATGTCCTTCAATGCGCTAAATGGTACATTAAAAATGATTAATTGAAATCTTCAGCCGAGAAAGAATAAATAACAAAATATGAAACATATTATTTCAATTTTTATTTTCTATCTTTAAATTTATTCTTAAACAATTGTTTTTTTTATTATTCTATATTTTATGTATATACCCTTAAAGAGCATTTAAATCTGTTTATCTATATCCTTTTCTTAAAATAAGCTCTTCAATTATTATTCAAGCATTTTTTATATACATTCTTTTAAATACTTACTTTTATTATTTATTACTTAAAAGAACGCGTTTTATTGACAAAACTAAATTGTACACACAGAAAACTCGATATTTTCATTATTTTTGTTTTTCCAGGCGAGAAACCTTTCAAGTGCACCATTTGCAACAAAGCCTTTGCCGACAAGTCGAATTTACGAGCTCATATACAAACACACTCGAACACCAAGCCCCACGTGTGCGGTCGTTGCGGCAAGGCTTTCGCCCTGAAATCGTACCTCTACAAACACGAGGAATCATCCTGCATGCGTGCTCATCACCGATCGTCCGCAGATAAGTCCGATCAGATCGAGCCGCAAAGGACACCGTCGTCGGTGAAACCGAGTGTTCCATTATCGTCGTCCTTGAACAGAACGCCGACGACGTCGTGCGTCACGGCGTCGCCCACCAGCGTCATAGTTCCTCGATTGGGGCACGAGCGTGACCAGAAAGACTCGTCGGCGTTCTCCGCGATCATCAGGCACACCAGGACGTCGGACGCGTCCACGGTGGCACCGTCGAAGCGACCCTGCCGAGAGAAGACACCCCCGGACGAGCCAGAGAGGCAGAGCCCCGATTTAGTGACCAAGGATCCGGAATACGTGTCCAGAATGGTCATCAGAACGTCGGTGATATCGCCCAATCCGGAGCACCTGCACCTCCGTTTCGAAAATGACGTTAAGAGTTCCTCGACTACGTTCGATTATCTCGACCCGACGAGGTCCTCGTCTTTCTCGAGACCCGCCACGATGACCTTGAATTTGGCCATCGCTTAAAGATCGGCCAATACTTAGCGATTAAGTCAATTAAGCAATAAAGAGAATTCAGATTTGGCATCGTACTTATTTTAGCACGAATTTTTACAGCAGGGAATTCTCTTGAGATTCAAAAAACTTGATTGAGTTGGAATTCCAGGGTATCCTAGAATTTAAAACCTCTCGGCATTCTGTAGAAAATTAAACAAAGTTTAGAATGTTCTTTAGTTATTTATTGAAAAATCGTTAATCGAAATAATCAGATCTTGTTTCTTACGAGACTATAATACCAAAAGATTTAGTGAAGAAATTGAAGATTTGAATTATTAGAGTGATTGTAAAGGAGTCACAAAATTACCGACGCTTTTCTTAATTGTAAATTGTTTTACCGTGGATCTTTTTTCATTGAAAATTTGATTCAAATTAAAAAACATTTTTTTTACCAGTATTGGTTATAATTTGATAATTGATTCTGTATAATTTCGATAGCGTTTTTGCAGGCGTTATCAAAAATTATGTGACTATAGGACAATTTTTCTTTGTCGCATTAATGTTCTATTTCTATACAATCGAACGTAAAGATCACGTCTGATAATGCTGAATAACATTGCGAATTAGCAAAGAATCGACAGAGCGTATGACAATTATTATTCCAAGCATCTTCCGAATTAGGGACCACCTAGCGATTAGTCGTAATAACGTTAAATTTGTAAGTGTGTTTAATTTAGCGCGAATCACATTGATGTAAAGTCGTGCCTTAAACAAGTATATCGGATCGTGTTTTAAAACGTGCGCAACTCGATACAGCGCGCTATATATATATATGTAGCTCCGACAGAATTGGCGTGTACGCGGATGAACATGTGGAAAGAAATTTTCGAGAGCGTCTGTTAAACGCCAAACTCGTGACCTTATCTATTTAAAGGCGTTATAGCGTCGCTATCGCGCGGCGTTTAAGCGATCGAGATTGATCATCGACACGAACTGAATCGCAGTGCCATCGTGTTATTATTTTAGGATTAAATGAAATTCTCCGAGGCTCTTCGCGGCAGCTATCAAACTTTGCAAGATGTAAATATAGGTACGAATGACAGGTGCGCGAAATATAGTGAATCCCGACGAGAGTGTGAAAATATCTTTGTCCTATATATAATCGAGTGGAAAGTTTTTACGATTGTCAAATGACGAAGAGAACGATGCAGCACTCGGCGCGGGGTTTCGTCGCTGCTGCCGAGAAAGAATTTTCAGAAACGCAACTACGCGTCGGTGATCATGCAAGCGTTGCGTCGGGACGTTCTCAAAAGCGAAGGCGTGTATCTGTGATTCGGAATTACGCAACCGGAATTGCCGCAAAAAGCCGGCTCCAGGCAATGCGATCACCTGCCAAAAATATATAGAAATAAAAATATATATATATAATATTATATTTCTTATATATATAGAAATAAGCTTAGACCCACTGGTCGTTCACTAGTGTACCCACCTGTTATGTGATGAATTTTGCTGTATTAATTCTATATAATTAGAGTATCGTGTGTCGCCAACGAACGTTATCCAGTCGAGCGCATCGTTCAAAGTTCGCGCATCCTGTACGTTGCCGGCAGCATTCTCCAGCAACGAATTAATTGTAGCGACGATAAATAAGCCTTCTTCTTTTGTTTGCGGTACACCAGAGATTGGTGTCCGATCAGAGTGTCCGAACTAGTCGAATCCGTTTTGCCGATCGTGAACGCAGTCTGCCGTCCTCGATTTGCCCTTAACTTAACTCGTCACGACGAATGTTATCTCGATTGACGGTATATTAAATATTTCCCTTTTTTTTTCGGGATTCAACAGACGGCGAGATTACGCTGATTACGCGAATGGCGACGGTTATGATAAAGATTTCGTGTAGATGTAATAATAAGTGTCGCGCAAGATCAACCGCCGCGTTCGCTGAGGGAATCCGCTCGAGTCGTATATACAATTGTAATTAATTAACGAGCGATTCAGACACACTGCACACACACACACACACACACACCCACACACACACAAATACACACGTGCGTCCTAGTCATTCGATAGATCGCCCATGAACGAGAATAGGGATCCCGATCTAGCGATTAAGCACGTAGTCGCGTTGACCACATGTTGTAAATAGCATTCCCACTTTTACGTATTAGATTTTAGCCGCGCGCGCGCGCGAGAAGGAGAGACATTGACGTAGCCGTTTTTAGATAGCGATTTATTACAGCCGTTGTATTATACGTGCTATTTGTACACAACCGGAGTGCCTATGCGAAACATTTACTCATATCTTTTTTTTACGAATTTTAAGAGCCTTGTCTATCGTAACGAAAGAATTATAATACACGAAGTGATACATGTATACGTCCAGACGCGTGTAAATTTACTTTGCGTCTTTCCTATTCAACCTAGTCCTTTAATCTTTTCTCATTTCCATTGTGCGATAAAGTAGAAGTTTTATCAAATAATTTCATGCCTATCGGATTGCAACACACTCATATAAAGCTTCTCGTTCAATACTCTCTCGCATCGTCTTTTTATTTATTGAACTCATTATCGCGCCGATGAACCATGCGATCATTAGCTACGCTTGGTAGTAGGATAAACAGCGACTAACTGTGTTTAACAAATAGATTGGACTCAATAATTAGGCCAACGAAAGCGAAAGTGACCTAATCCGATAAGTCAACTCAATGTCGCTTGTAATTGATAGATTTATACGACTTAGAATGGAAACGAAAGAATTTTCATGGATTTAAATGTTCTAAATGAATTTTTATCAATAACGTCATTGAGATCAGGCTTAATTATTTGTGTTTTATTTCTGAAACATAATTTTTCTCATAAATATCTCCATATAAATAAATATATCCATAGATAAATATAATACATAGAATATAATAAATGAAAATTTCTGTGTAATATACATATATAAAATTACGAAGAAAATAATTTTGTTACAGAAAATATCGAATCTGTCAGAAAGTTTGGCTTTTCAAGTTCGAGATATTCCGAATTGCTATCTAAGTAAGCAATGCAGGCGATAGTGACAAGAATGGGTTTCTCGTTTCTCTTAATTGCAACATGGAGTATCCTCCCAAGTCAATGACGGCCACGGGGGCATATCTTTCGGTAATGAGATCCGCGGCGACAAGATGAGACCAAGTGAGATAACGTGATACACACGAGCGTCTGTACGCACTTACATCACGACGCACGACGTAAATTCCCGGAATTTCGTCCAGTGATTCCTATACTCCCGCCTCGCGGCTACATGGACCTTTATGATTCTAAACGGTGGCGCTTCGTGGGACCAACTGCGACGGGGCCGAAGAAGAGAGCAGAGAGTCGGTGGGAATCTGTAACGGGGATTAGAACATCGTCGAGACGTTGGTGCGCGTCAGTCGTGGAAGTTGTCTCGCAGACGGTTCGAGCCATGCGGCCGTGCCTCGTCGTCCTGATCTTCCTCGCGAGCACGGCACTCGCGAGGTACCACGTAAGTTTTCCATTTCCCTCGAGCGAGCGAGGAAACATCGAGCTCGTTTCGCCATCTGCTTTTTCTCAAACATTCAATAATAAATAAAAAATTCATACGCAGTGCCTTCGAAAAAACTGAATTTGGTTTGTAAATTAATGTGTCTTTATGTATCTCGTAAATAACAACTTAACGCGCCAACACGGATTTTACGAAAAATTGTATTGATACAAAAATTACCTTCAATAATTGATAACGATATTCTCCGTACTTTAATTTGACGATTTATATAAACTCCATGTGAGCTTTAATTATACTTATCAATTTGTTAATTCATATTTTGTTAGCGCGTCGTCCTTCTAATAAGAAAAATTTTGAAAACGATTAATAGAGGCACCTCCGGAAAAAAAGCGCTCAAGTTTCTGTTCAATTATTGTAATACTGATCGGATCGAAAAGTTGTAAAAGGTGATATTTAGATATCCGCGTGTGAGTTGCTTATTCATCAATTCGGAGTAATAGATAGTCGCTTATCTCTCCTTCTTGCGATTTAGGGCACTTCGCGCGGCGTTGTGAAATTCAGCAAATCGACGACGTGTATCATCTATCCGCGACGATAAACGTGGAAATGCGATCTCCCGAGTATCCCTCTACTTGCCTCTTAGGGCTCTTAGCCCTCTTCATTCATCGCTGATATGTTCGAGAAACAAGCCGAGTTGTAACTGCAATTTCAAAATTATTACAACTGCGTTCGCGTAAGAAAACGCGCAACACGCTTTTGCACGAAACTGATACCTACGGTCACTTCGACCAGACTCCGATTACCTTTCCGGTAAGCAAATCGTCCTCATTGAAATGCTAACAGATTGGCAACAAATTCAATCAGAAATTGCTAGCAAATTAGCATCAATTATGTTCGCATGATCGAACATTTTGCAAATAAAGCCTGCTGGCATAATTAATATTAATATAATGTAATATTTAATATAACTCGACAGCTGATTTTATTCGTTTTCCGCCGTTAAGATCTGAAGATCTGCATTCGACAAATTTTGCTTGATTTCTGCCATCATATTTCGTTAACAAACTTTGCTATATTTTTACCAGTATTGTATATACTACAAGTATATCCTGCATCTCTGGTCCTTCTGTCGACAAAAGTACTACAACAAACGCTTTGCAGATTTTATTTCCGATAGATTGATTTTCTGTTCTGGTTCAATTGGCGATTAAACTCAATCAGCAAAATAGCTTGCGGCAAAATTTTAGACTGTATAATATAATTATCCTGAATCCTTCTTTGTGTTCAAACAACGAAGAGTTCATAATTCCAGCCACGTTATCAAAGTGATTATATATGTTATTCGACGTGTTAATTGCTAATTAAAATTAATTGGAGTCTGATCGAAGTCGGTCCTTTAAAAAATCGTTTTAAATAAAGCCTTTTAAGCTCGTTAAAAATCTATTAAAGGCTCGTGTGGTAAAATCTGTGAAAAAAATTAAACGCACATGATCGTGATTGATTGTGTGATTTTCCTATCAATTGTCACTTCATCGGGTCGGCAAAAACTTACGTTCACATTTTCGTCGAATTTGACACTGGATATCGATTCGAGATCATTTGCCGAATGCCGAATGTTTCAATTCATGACACTCCCTTATTTTCCCTATGGCATGCGCCTAGTTGCGCTTATCACGCTGTCGCGCGCGACTTGAAGGAGACAATTATTGAAAGAAAGCTTTGGATGTCAAAGCTCACGCGATAAGAACGAACAGACGATACGGACTAGGCGGCCCGTTCTCAACCGCAACGCGCGCTTTTTTCACCCCCCTTTCGTCAGCGCTCGAGATTCCGTCAATGCCATTTCCACACGGTACGATTTACGACAGTCTTTAAAGATCAATTGGCGCCGACGATCAAAGTGACGAATTTAGCAGCTTCCCGCGTTTCCGTGGTAGCGTGTTTTTATTCATTCCCTGTCTTGCCGCCTCTGACTTTACGAATTTCTACTTTACGAATTTCTTTTCCCACGTATGCTATTGCGATCTTATTGCACTTGATAATTGCTTTGTAATCAATGTAAATTTATCCCTCTTTTCAAAATGATCAATTAAGAGGAGATTCGAACTGAATTGCAAATTTGAATTTCAAGCATGTATCAAGTTAGAGAATCTGATGCCACAAAAATGACTCACTTCAATTTGATTTATTTTTTTCAAATTAAAAGATCCTAGAGAGATTGAATCCGATGATTTTTCAAAAGTAAATTCTAATATTTTCATCTAATTTCTTATAGATAAATTTATAATTTGTATAAATAATTAATATATAATAATGTGCATAATAATATTAATGTTCTAATAATATTAACATTCTATATATAATAAATAATATATTCTGTATAACGTTAATATTATTAGTAATTTGAATAGACATTTTTATTCATAGGAAAAGACGCGTTTCGATCGATCTGTTTACGAGTATGGGATGAGAGATACAGAATACAATAATGAGGAGAAACAATGGTCTTTCACTGATGATGTAACAGTAAGTGATTACGTTACGTGATTGTCTTAATATTAAAATACGCCGATTAAAATTGCTCCTTTTAAAACAGCAATTCGTTGCATACAAGAGTAGGAAGGAGAACGATTGCTATCTTGAAGATATAAAGCAGGGTCAGAATGTGTCACGTAAGAAGCGACAATCCAAGATACTCTATGCGTCCACCCTCCTCACGAAACTGGAGGTATTAATAATTAAGTTATCTTAACTTGTATTATTTATGTAATTAAGAATTATGCAACAAAAATATATAAAAAAGATTATTCAAATAATTACATGTAGAAATATATCAATAAGTATACAGTATGTTATATCAAATATAAATATGTTAAACATTTAAATTTAATATTCTAAACAGGCGTGGCGACTTGCTGGAGGTCGAATCGTTGATTTCTGCAACGGACGCAATATTCTTTTATTACAAACAACGAGACCTGTACCTGGACAAACTCTCGATCCCTTCCTCAATGAAATTCCTGTAGACGAAAACGACATTTCGTCGAAACGCGTAGCTGACGTGGTTTTAATACCGCTGAAAGCTCGGACAAAACGAGAGATTCAACTCGAGCAACGAGAGAAGTTGAATAAAAATGTCAATCAAATTCGACAACGTCGGCAGACGAATCAGTTTCGAGGGAAGTTTCGTGGACAGACGCAATCTCAATATTTAAATTTCAATAGTGATGAAACGAAAGAAGGCAAGGCTGAAGCTGAAGCTACTCAGCAATCTTCGCATGCCGTAGTTAGTAAGTATTTAATTACGATTTGATATTTGATCAAATTTTATTCATTGTATATTACTGTATAATAATTAAATAACTCTTTTTAAAGCAAAAAATATTATAAAATATTAAAAATGGTTTAATTAAAAATAATAAATAAGTTAATTAAGGATAAATTAATCAATAATGGGTAAAAATTAAAAAATAAAATTCTTGTAACATTGATTATGATTTAGAATTAGTGATACTATCGTAAGATATCATAGCTGTGTATAAATGAAAATTTTGTCAAAGAAAAGACCCATATAATTATTATATACTTATTTGTATAATAAGTATTCTAATATATTTTCTTGCAGCTGGTAGTCGCGGAATGGGTCAAGCACAAAGTATGTCATCAGGTGGTACTGGTTGTGAAGATTGTCCTGGATATCCTGGATATCTTGGATATCCTGGCGTCGAGGGCACACCAGATACACGAGTTCCACCTACTCCAGGTGTTGGAATTACACCTGGTATTACACAGCCAGGAATCGTTCCTGGAGTTCCAACTTACCCTAGCACCTATCCTGGTATTCGTCCTGGAATTAGACCAGAAACTTATCCTGGAGGCATCCGTCCTGGTATTGTGGCACCGGGAGTTGACGGGACGTATCCTGGAGGTGTTCGTCCTGGTATCGTAACACCGGGAGTTGAGGGGACATATCCTGGAGGTGTTCGTCCTGGCACCGTGACACCGGGAGTTGACGGGACATATCCTGGAGGTGTTCGTCCTGGTATCGTAACACCGGGAGTTGAGGGGACATATCCTGGAGGTGTTCGTCCTGGTACTGTGACACCGGGAGTTGACGGGACGTATCCTGGAGGTGTTCGTCCTGGTATCGTAACACCGGGAGTTGAGGGGACATATCCTGGAGGTGTTCGTCCTGGTATCGTAACACCGGGAGTTGAGGGGATATATCCTGGAGGTGTTCGTCCTGGTATCGTAACACCGGGAGTTGAGGGGACATATCCTGGAGGTGTTCGTCCTGGTATCGTGACACCGGGAGTTGAGGGGACGTATCCTGGCGGCGTTCGTCCTGGCATCGTGACACCGGGAGTTGATGGGATGTATCCTGGAGGTGTTCGTCCTGGTATCGTGACACCGGGAGTTGAGGGAATGTATCCTGGCGGCGTTCGTCCTGGCACCGTGACACCGGGAGTTGACGGGACGTATCCTGGCGGCGTTCGTCCTGGCACCGTGACACCGGGAGTTGAAGGAATGTATCCTGGCGGCGTTCGTCCTGGTATCGTGACACCGGGAGTTGACGGGATGTATCCTGGAGGCGTCCGTCCTGGTATCGTGACACCGGGAATTGATGGAACGTATCCCGGTGGTGTACAACCTGGAACTGTGATACCAGGTGTCCAGCCTGGAAAAGTTCAGCCTGGAGGAGTCCAGCCTGGAGGAGTATTACCTGGTGTAACGGTAGTTGGGACGTATCCAGGAAGTATTCAACCTGGAGTCCAACCGGGACAAGTTTATCCTCCTGGTGGTATTATAACCACTTCAGTAACAACAGGTGCCACTGCTGTTACTGGTGTTGGAACTTATCCAATCAGTACTGTACCTGGAACAGGCTTACCAAGTGGAATATATCCAGGAGTTCCTGGCACAGGACCTTATCCCGGAACTGGAGTCTATCCTGGTGTTCGTCCTGGTACTATTCCAGGAACAAGTGTCGAGACATACCCTGGTGTTGTTTCAGGAACAGTAACTCCTGGAGTTTATCCTGGTAGTGGACAGCAGACTGTCGTATACCGTCCGGAAGGTGTTCCATCAGGCACTCTACCAGGCGGAGGTCAAATTCCTGGTACAATTACGACTACATCTGGTACACAAGTAATAACTTATCCAGATCGTCAACCAACGAACGGTCAAACAGTTTACCCAGGTATTATTCAACCTGGTAGGATTCCTGAGAGAACAGGTACCCAAGTTACGTACCCAAGTGTTACATATCCTGGGACTATTCCAGGTACATATCCTGGGACTATTCCAGGTACATATCCTGGGACTATTCCAGGTACATATCCTGGTGGTGTACAACCTGGAACTGTGATACCAGGAGGCGTCCAGCCTGGAACTGTGATTACAGGCGGCGTTCAGCCTGGAACTATGATTACAGGAGGCGTCCAGCCTGGAACTATGATTACAGGAGGCGTCCAGCCTGGAACTGTGATACCAGGAGGCGTCCAGCCTGGAGGAGTTCAGCCTGGTGTACAACAAATTACTTCTCCTGGCGGTACCTTATATCCTGGTCAAGTAATCTATCCAAGTGGCCAAGTGCCAACTTATCCAAGTGGACAATATCCAGGCACGAGTGTCGGGATTCCAGGAACAGGAGGCATTCAGTATCCAACAGGCACAATAGAAGGTCAAATAATTGGTAGGCCTGGTGTTACTGGGCAATATCCTGGACAGTATCCTGGTCAGTATCCAGGCGGAGTCGGAGTAGATAGTAGTCAGTATCCAGGAAAGTTTTACCCGGGTATGGTTGGAACTACAGGTACTGGAGAAGTTGCTGAAGGATTAACTAGACCGATGGGTCCAGCGGGTGTGGTGGATGACGGTGCCCAGTCGCAAGCATCGAGTTCCGTGCAACAGGTAGACTCGGGTACTCAAGCAAGCGCTTCTTCTCAGGGTAAATATGGATCGGGTACAGCTCAGTCGCAAGTGACAGGCACTTACAGCGGTTCCGGCAGCTTCTCGGCCCAAGCTGGCACCAGTGACGCCGACAAGAGTGCCCAGGCTGAAATCACTGGCGGTAAGGAAGGAGCTACTAGCAATGCACAAGGAGCTGCCGGTTATGGAAAGAGTCAGGCGCAGGTTCAATTGGATTCCGATTCCGGAGCTACCTCGACAGGTGCTCAGAGCAGCGGCTGGAATCATGGAACCAATTCGCAAGTGCAAGCGAGCTCCAAGGGCGGAATGGCGGATGCTCAGGCAAACGGCGAGGGCAGTACCTCCAGCCAGGCGCAGATCGGATTCCAGCCGTATCTGAAGAGCGACGATGAAAAGGTGGAGAAGCACGCGACGCCATTTGGCGGCAGTGGAACGGCATCGGCCCAAAGTGGCACTCATCGAGGTCAATCTCAGTCCCAGCTGCAAGGTTCTTTTCAATACGGGATCACGTACACCGGCGCGGCACAAGCCGGTTCCGGATCTGGTGCCGCATCCTCGCGGAAGCCCTTCAACTTCACTGACACCGAACTCTTCAAGCCCTTCAAGCCAGCTCCTCCTTTGAAGGTGAATGTTGACAGCGCACAATCGAGTCCGTCGACAAGTTCGAATTACAAGCAGGACGAAAACAGGCAGAATCGCGAGCAAGGTTTGCAAAGCAGCTCGACCTCGAGACAGACCGTCGTGTTGACTTCCAAGAACAATCCAAACGACGCTGCCGACAAGAAAGTGCTGTCTACTGAAAAACCACGAATGGACGACACGGCGTACGACGAATACGACGACGACTACGAGGACGATTATCCTACGGCAACGGGTTCGAAGTTGACCATCAAAGAGAAGCTCTCGGACTCGAGTCAACAGAAACTCGACAAGACCATTCAACAGCAGAGTCGCAGTCAGTCGCAGACGATACAGGTTGCCAAGGGGAACCAGTACAAGATCCACGTTAGTCAAGATTCAAACGTACCGCGAACGGGTGATACTCTGCAACCGGGACAATCCGTGTCAGGGTACACCATCCCGTCTGGATTCCGCGGCCGAGTAGTGTCGACCTCCGGCACCGAGACCGTTGCTCAGGGCGACGGCAGATCTCAGTCGCAGACTGTATCTTTGGTACCGAAGGACTTCAACAGTACCAAGTCATCGCTCGTCACGGAGACCAGGTCGCTTCAGACTAATCACGACCGTTATTACATTGGCCGGCATACATCGAACAGCCAAGGATCTCCCGTCAATCAAGGCGTGCCTTCCGATAAGCGCACGAGACCTACCCCGGCGGTAGCGGCGAAGCCGAGTTACTACACCGTGACCAACAGTTTCGCTGGCAAGATGAACGGCAACAACGAACCGAGAAAGTACGAGCATCGATATTACACCAAGAGTTCCACCTGCGGATACTTCACGTTCTCCTGCAACGTCGTGTACGGTTCCAACGGCAGAACGAAGATCTGCAAGCCGAAAGTGCCGACGTATGCCGATGGCACGCCTATGAGGTGTTGAGATCACCAGAATATATATGGGGATGCAACGATAATTACTTCTATAAAGCATCCTAAATTAATTGAATTCACTTTTTTCCGCGTTGTATAGTACAGTGGAATTTATGTGACTCGCTTAGATAGATTAGATCGTATTTGACTAATTTCGCTTTCGCGCGCGTCGACATTGTAACTCGTTCCATCATAAATTCGAGTGATACATTTCCTCTTCAGCAGCTTTAATAGGTAAAATAAATGTAGAAGTAAAACGCGAATACGGATAGAAAGCTTTCGTTCCTATGGACTAGTAAATGAAGACTATAGATCTTTCGGGAAATTCTACAGGACTGAACGTTACGCCACAAACGTTACTTCAATGCTGTAATTTCTTTATTGAGGTACTTCCAAATTATTGACTGTATAGCATGGTGAACATCGTGTTGTTACATCAAATCGCTGCTATTTATTGAGTTTTGTCAATAAAATACATTTTTAACTAGAAGAAAAATCTGTTCTCTCCGTCTTCTTCCGTCGATTAAGAAATATAATTAACAACAATCTTCTCACAATTTGACATACATAGATGATTGCATTGTATGAAAGTTCGTTTAGATTTTATCTATAACTCGGTATATCTGCGACGGATATACACACGTAGAGTATTGCTTCGACTTACACTACAGATTTTCGGTATTGACATAAAATGCTCAGTTATAAATATCAGGTATCGTATCTTGTACACAACTGTATCTCGCTACTCGATTTCGCCAGTCTTTTCCGAAACGAAAAATACATGACGAAACATAGTGTTTCATTACACATATATTTCGTAAATATGTATCTGTATGTACATAATATCTTTACCTCAATTTTATTTAAAAAAAAAAAGGAACGTATAAAATAACGCGGAATGTGAACTGTGTACAAAATGCGTATTGCACTTGACGCGTGAAAAGATGGATATTCATCATTTACAAAAGTAGAAAAACGAACGTGACAATAAAATGATTATTTACAGGAAATAATGATAAAAACGAGCACGATCTCTTTTCTTATTGAGTAAATAACTTTTGAACAGCAAATACTGCGGACGACCCATCTTTCATATCGATCAATAAGTAATTAAAATTGTTATCGATTATGATACATAATTAAATAATATAAACGCAACATATATTTACATATGTGCTTCTAGAAGTATTGACGTGCTTATCAGTAAACACAGTAGGTACGATAGTTATTCGTACCACAATTCGCCCAGAGCAGAATTAAAGGTTGAAAAGAGAAAAAATAAAAAAAGGACTGTTGTCGAGTCCTGTACTTTAGGCCCACTATGAGATCACCTATTCGATTTGCATCTCCGCTATCTGACTTAAACACACCATCGCTATCGCTATCGACACGAGCGAGTACTAGGCTTGTTGCCGATCGTAGACTGTAATTTCGTCCAGTTATTGTTTCACCGATTCAAAAAGCAACGACTATACTAACGTACCTACTATAATAACGTACCTTCAGTTTGTTGGAATTGTTCGTTGGAATTGTTGGCTTTTAACTTTTGCTCGCCGGCCCCGTCTACTTCAGCGTTCGTTGAAGTTTCGCGCGTATCGTTGTTGCTGTGACAAAGCCATATATTTTTTAGCTTTAACGCCGCAGGTCGCGAATACGAGCTGCAGACACCGATTGATTGTCGTATTTACCTATTTCTAAAGTGCTCCAGCTGTACGTTTGCGGACTGCAATCGCTCCACGAGATCCTCGTTGGCCCGTTGCAGTTTCCGCACGCTGTTCGTAGCGGCGTCGACCTCGTCCTGAGCGGCGGCCAGCTCTTTCTTCAATTCCTCGACTCTCGCTCTCACTCGCTTCACCTCCGCCTCGTACTGCTCGGACCGTCTCATCGCGTGCGACAATTCCGTTGTCTTCTCTGCCAAGGATTGTTTCAGTGCCGCCTGATACTGCTTTACTTCAAGTAACACCTGCGCGAGAGAGGCGAGGTAATAATACAACCACATTTTACGAAGCATTATTAATTCGATAGCGTTATCGAACGGACCATATTGCGAACTAGAATTTCGTGCTGTAATTGTCTCGTGTCCGTGTCGACCGTAGATACCGGCCGTGACCGTCGCGTTTCTACTCCCTCTTGTAGTTCGTATAATTTTAAGCGGAGCAGCTTGTTATCTCGTTCCAGGGATAGCTTTTCAGTTTCTAGTCTCTCCCTTTTACTCCACTCTGCTGCATTTTCAACTTGAAGTTTCTCCAGCTAAATTTTTGGAATATAAGAATGTAAAAACAGTCTTTTCATGATATAACATAATACATATATAAAATAACACGTCATATATACAGTAAAAAAATAAAATTTAATGACTTTTTCAATGCACAATTCTTATACTTTATTAATTAATTTTTAACAAAGACTCTTTAAAGAAAGCGTAATTGCAAATATATATTATATAAGTAGCTTACTTCTGTTCTCAATTCCGTTAAACGGCGGTCCATACTCTCTCCGCTACTTGAATTGTTAATTAAATCCGCTATATGTTCGTCGCTGAGTTCGAGTTGAAAACGTTCTTTTAATTCTGATAATTCCCTCATCGCGTCGGCTTTACTCTCCGATAACTCCTCACATTGCTCCCTCAATTGCCTGACTTCAGCCTTCAATTTTTCCACAGTTCGGTGCAGAGAGTTGTTTTCCCTTACAGAACGGAAATAAAAAATAAATTGCCGTACGACACAATCAATTAGTTTTATACATTGGGACTCATGCAAGACTTACTCTCTCTCCACGGAAATGGTTTTCGTCGCCTCCTCCAATTTCATTTGCAACGCTGACATTTGTTGAGTTAAAGACTCTTCATTATACATATCTAACGGCGACTGTTGCTTCTCCAGTCCGTCCTTTTTGGCAGTATTATCCAGCTTCGTGATGCTTTTATCTAGCGAATTATTGGGACTCTCCTTATACAATTCCACCGCGTGTTTCGGCACGGCACCTTGCAAGACGTACTCCTCGATATCCCTCTCTGGTAAGACACTGTGACCTCCCGTGGCAATGTTCGCTGCTTCATGGGAATTTTTACAGGACAACATATCCCGTTGTGCACCTAACGCGTCGCTGGCGTCGACGTTGTTGTAAAACTCCAGCTGCTCGTCCAATCCGAAGGTAGCTCTCAATTGCGGATCCGACTCTAGGATGGTAAAGATCTGTTGGTCAAACTGCCCGGCGTGTTTCAAGAGTATCATGTGTATCTTCTCCATCTCCTTCTTCAACTGTTCGTTCTGCAATTCCAAATCTTGAGATTCGTGCTTGAAGGTGTTGGCGTCTTTGACGGCGATCTCCAGCTTTGACCTCAGAGCCTTCGCCTCGTCTCTAGCCGCGTTCCTCTCGTTCCTAACTTTGCTCCACTTCTCACGCCAATTGGCAGTACAGTCGGACCACCATCGCATCGTCTTCTCCATTTGCGCCGCTCGCGCTCTTGCCTCCTCGAGCTCCCGCTGTCGTAAGGCCTGTTTGACGAGAAAACGTCAAATTTAATTAGTGACTAATCGACGAAGATATATTATTAGTTTAAAAAAATGAAAAAATCTGGATATTGTGAACCTGGAGTATTAAATAATTTTCTGATTGGCCAGAAGAGCAAAATAAATGGTAAATAAATAGCACTAAATAATTTCATTTCACTCATTGAAATAGTACTTAATTTAGAATTCTATCTGCAAAACGACAGGCATAAAAGGTCTAAAAAATGTTTGTGTTACAATCACACATGAACATTTACTATCACTTTTCGCATAATACACATATAAATGAGTGTAACATACAATTTAAAAAATACACGGCGTTATGATACATTTATGACTTTATGACATAATTACGACATAATTACGACATAAACAAAAGTAAGTGTAGTATCATGTTGTAAACATAGAATAAGGGCGCGACTAAACTTATTCGGTGCTAAGGCATAAACTGATACAACTTGATCAGCGCTACCTCTTTGGACTCCCACTCGCTGTCCACGTAACGCGACGAGGACGGCACGGACGGCACCTCGTGCTCCCGCATGTATCGCCGCGAGGAGGTTCCGCTTGTTGTCGACTGTGCCATGGTGCGAGCCAGCGCGTAACCTAGAACTTTGTTTTCGCTGGCGACCCTCGGGATCCTACCGTGTACGCTGCTCCTTGGCGCCTCCGCGGCGCACCTTCCGGCACCGCGATTCAATGCCGATCGAGCATCGTCCCTAAAATCCTCCCTCGATCGCGCCGTTTAAATATCGTCGGACTAGATTGAACAACAAAATTCCATACATACTACTGACGGCAGTACTGACGGCGGATATCGTCACATATACATACGTATATATATGCACATACACACATCGGCGACAGCCACCTCCCTCCCGGGAATGGATGAGCCCGAGGGTTGTCCGGACTGTTACGCGCGTAAATTCGAAACGTCATGAATATTATATTCGCCCGTCACATAAAAATGTAATTCAAAGTTGCTTAATTCTTTCAGAAAGTTTAAGGGGCAATAGATTTTATATTATTAACTTTACGAAGCGTAACGAGTTTTCTGAAGTGTTAAGAAATTATAAAATTCTAAAGAAATTTGAAAGAATTCGAAGACGGATCTTTTTAGGTGATAAAAGTCGGAAACAATCTGTTGACAAAATTTAGAAAAAATTAAAGAATCTTACAATTTTTAATTTTTATATAAATTCCTTCGACCTGTGTTGCGATAACACGAGCGCGATTTTTTCAACGTTATACTTATTAAAATCTTTTACCTCGAAAAAATTCAGTACATCTAAAACTTATAAACAAAATTCGATTTATTACCACTATAATAATTGTTACAGACATCTCAATTTATCTTCGCTTTCTACCGCCAATCTTCTTGTGCAGATCCCGCTTGCCTTTTCCCGCCTTCGGCTTTCTAGCAGTTTTACTTTTACTGTTTTTCAGTGCGCCCTTCCTCTTTTTACTGCCGCTTGTTGCGGACTGCTTTATCCTGCAACACACGCAAACAAATATTGTGTATTATTGCACTGAATGTAACGCAATCGAGATTTAATCTGCGCGAGTGAAAATTTACTCTGCAACTCCCGTCGAGTAATCATCGCGCAGCAGCTTGGTGTTGCTCTTCAATACGTTATCCACCAGGCTTGTGTTCTGACGTTTCTCTTCGATAGTGCTTAACGGAGGCGCTTTCCTTTTCCTTTTCATTCCCGACACCTCCTTAGCAATTCCTTTCGCATCCCTCTCTTTTGGCAATCTGAGCAAGAAAATTTTTACATCTCATATCGTTTTGTTCAAGGCGAAAATTTTATAACACATACAGATCGCAACATTCAACGGGCATACCTGGACTGGAACTTTCCAATAGATGCGGTCGACGTACGCGCTATAGTTAGAGCTTCGGAAAGCTGTTGAGAACTCGAGAAGTGTTCTCTGGTAGGCAGACCGACTCTCGGTAATTTGACGTTTTTCGATCTGGCTATATTGCGAAGCCTTTGCAATTCGTTTTTGGCCTGCCGCTCCTGCTTGGTTGCTTTGACTTTGGCAAACGGATCGTCGGCCGGGCTACCATCCTGCTTGGCCTCTATCAACCATTCCTTCTGTTCCTCCACCTTCGCTCGTTTATAGCCGTACGTTGGAATCCATTTCTAAAGAGATTTAAAACAAAAAAATTTAAGAAATTAAATAAATTCAAAGATTTATCATAAGCCTCTTCATTTATTAAACTACATTAATAGTAATTTAAATTTAATGAAATATGACAAAACAGTTTCGAAAGTAGACACGAATCTTGCCTTCAATTCCTCGTCCCACTTCAGCTTGGATTTGCCCTTCTTCTTCGTTTGTATTCCCTTCTTCTTGGCAAACTCCTGCCACTTTGTCAAAGGCTTGGCCTTCGGAATGACGCGCGAGCGTGGCAACACGTATTCAGGCTTGGGCAACTTGGCCACTATAGCTTCGTCCACCCGTTCCACTGGCAATTCCCAGATCTTGTTGATCAGCAACTGTACGTTGTCCCTCGTCAGACTTTTCAAGTACGCATCCGGCTTCGACCTGCACCAGATATAAGAGATATCATGAATATTTTTCAGCCGGAGGGTTCTCTTACAGATTATAAACATGTGCACGAGACGGAGGTTACTTGAGAGCTTTCGCGTCCAGAGCGTTACAGTCGAACGCGAGCAGAGTTCCCAGATCGATGTCGAGCTCCACATCCTTGTGCACCTTCGTGGATTTACTTAGATCAGTCTTGTCCTTGTCGTCTTCTAGAATCGACTTGACAAGATCCATCGCGAAGATCCTCTCTTCCCCACACCTCCACGTGCGTATTTGAGGTTATGCGACTCACGTCACGTCTCCTTCGCCGAGTGCACTAAAAGCACTCCTCTCTGAACGTGCACAGTTGCACGGTAGAGAGAAGAAGGAAGAAGATAACGAGTGCAAAAGGTTAAAGATCCAATTTAGGCTCGACCAATCGGATCAGACGATCGATGATGTCTGTTTGAAGTGGGACACCGATTGGCCGCTTTTCCCCTTTTGCACTTCTCTTCCCGTCGCACTCGTGCATTTACATATTTCACGCGTGACGTATCATTTTTATTTTTGTTCAACATTCAGTGAGCAAGGATGAAATGATGCATCATGCGCGTCACACGTGAAAACGGAACGCACCTCGAGTCCGTCGTCTGAACGGAACGGTAGAAGAGGAGTTCTCGTATTGGACACGGGACGGTGTCACGTGCCCGTGGTTGTCATACCTGTCACCTCCAGTGGCTCCAGTTTCCGTCGAATCCGTCGGGCAGGTCGGGCTCTTCGTGTCGATCGGAGCGGATCTTACGACACGACTTGGGTGATTCGACTTTTGATACGCGCGTATCGGCGGTACGACTTTCGTTCGAGAGATCCGGCCGTATCGCCATCGACGAGCGAACGGCCCTCTTTTCTCGCGCGCTCAGCCGAGAGAAGAGTTATTGCCCGACGGTCGTGCTGTGCATGTCATGGAATACCGAGAAGCGGAGTCTGTTGCTACGCTAGCTTCGTGACTCATCGCGCGAACGATCGACCCACTTGTCATCCCGCGTTGACAAGTGCGTATACACACGCGCGCGCTCGTCTAGGAGGGGATATCGCACGCGAGGCGTGAGGAGACGGCGATCCCCGCGTCGCCCCGATCGCGAGCTTCGTCGTCGGCATCGCGGAGCAGCGAGACCTACGTTTGCATCAATAATTGGTTAGTTTTTTTTTGTTGTTTAAGTAATGATAACTTCCGTTATCCTCTTGGAGAATCGCCGAGAGGGCGACTCCAATTCTAGACGCGTCAGCTACAAATTATGTACCGATCGCGAGGATATCTATGTATAGCACCGTGTAATTGAATTTGTATAATCTAGCTAATAACATCGCTGACAGCTCAAAGATGGATGCCGGATTCTCGTCGTACCACAACGGTGGTCCCGCGCGAGAGCAGGACTTCGGCAGGCTGTCCCAGACGATTGGCACCTCGATACTGAAGATATCGCAAAATGGTAGGTCCTCCCTAATCAACGAGATAGATTTGGGAAGTATATATCGGGATTATTTATCTCGACGTTCCGTTCGCAGTGTCTTCCATGCAGAAAATGGTCAATCAGCTGGGCAGTTCCACCGATTCGCAGGAGCTCAGGAATCAGCTGTAAGCTTACTGAGAATTCTTCAGATCAGCTCTGATGAAACGTAAACGGGGATCAAATTTCACGAAATTGTCCGTCGTTTTGCAGGCACCAGATACAGCACTACACGCAGCAGCTGGCGAAGGATACTAGCGTACATCTTCGAGATTTGGCCATACTGGCGAATAATTCCGGCTCTACGAGTCCCGGGGAACAGAGGCAGCGGAAAATGCAGAGGGAGCGCCTACAGGATGAATTTACCACCGCATTGAATTCTTTTCAAGTAAATATCGATGTAAATGTGTTGCGTGATGTGTTACCGATGATTGTTATTGATAATCGTTCTTATATCCAGGCTGTACAAAGGCTAGCTGCTTCTAAGGAGAAGGAAATGGTCAGGAAGGCTAAGGCTAATGCCGGTATCGCGCCGTTCGGAGAGAAGAAACAGGATACGCTCATCGAGTTGCAAGACAGTAGAACGTATGGGAGCGATCACGCGAAGCAGCAGCAGGAGCAGCTGCAGGAACAGATGAATTTACGAATGTTAGAGGAACAGGAAGCCAGCATAAGGCAGTTGGAAGTAAGTGCTCTATGCAACAACTGTCAAAGATTCGTCTATGAGAATTTTATACGTATAGCAATATCACGTATATATGTATATATTTTTGCAGAGTAACATTAGCGACATTAACCAAATATTCAAAGATCTCGGTGCTTTGGTGTACGATCAAGGAGAGGTGATCGATTCCATAGAAGCGTCGATCGAAAGAACCGAGGTGTCCGTCACCGAGGGCGCTTCTCAAGTGAGGCAAGCGAGTATGTATCAGACCAAGCTGCGCAAGAAGAAGTGTATCATCATAGTGATCGCGGTAATCGTGCTGGCGATTTTGATTGGCATCATAGTTTGGAAAAGCCAGTAAGAAGGGAGATATGCACGTATTTATGACAATGTACAGCATGATGATACATAAGGTAGTGCTACAAAAAGAAGCCGGCTGTCTGTGTTACGATTGCAGACTCGCAGGTCGGGTAAAGTTCTTAGTGACGTTTCTGTCCAAATTCTAATTATTTTAAAACCACGCAGGGGAATGTAGCATTGTCACAGGGGACGCAGGAAAGTGTGAAGAGAAATACACACGTTCTTGCGAATTTAATCCATGTAATTGTGATAACCGATAGGTGCGAGTAAAGTTCTAACGGCACGTCTAAGGATTGCCGCAGTCCATTTGTACGTTTCAATACTCATAAACTGTCAGTGTACGATTAACTATATATATATACACAATATTATACGCGCGTATGACAATTTAGGTAACTCACCGCGACTATATGTAACAAAGCTACGTAAGTGTGTGTCTGTCTGTGGAGTGCTTGGTAAAATGAGTAACAAAGTATGCTTGTTGTATCTACAATGCAACTGTATTGTGCCTGTAAAGTATCTTAAGAACTACCTAACAGAAACTTCGAATATCTGAGCATTATAGTACTTTCAAAAAAATCCATCAAAGCATTCACGTATAAGTTAATGTATTATATTTAGTTTAGGGATGTTGATTTTTGTTTTAAACAAGATACAATAAACAATATGTATATATAAAGACTGGCAAGAGTAAGCTCTGGCTCTGATTATTCTCACCATGCAAATCTTACAAATAAGCACTTTATAATAGAATACACGTGTAATAGAAGTAATAGAGCAAGATTAGCGCTTTCAATATCGAGGAGCTTATGAACATACATGTCTACATTAAGAATGTAGTATCAATAAATATAATATAAAGTATATAATTTTATAAAAATATATTTATTTATATAAATTTTCAAACTATTAACAAAACTATATAAAAATTGTAAATTACAAAACACTTATATATATCAGTGTATATTTTCCAGAATTTGTTTTTCTGAGAGACCAACTTTTTAAATGCGTTCGCTCCAATTTATGTAATTTATCGTTCAAGAAATTTTTGTAAATTGTATATAAATGTACACGCTTCAGGAATCAGTGCTTCGAGTTCGACCTCTTCCAATAAACGAGGAAGTTCTAAAATTCAACAATAATGAAATGGCAATGTAATCATTGATATTGCACATCCGCATTTCTTTTACTTAATTCTAGTGTATAACAACGTTTTATGAGAGAAAAAAAACCGGCGCTGTGTAGGAACAACTGTAATTAAGAGCGAAGATCATGATGCATTCTGTGCTGTTACTTGTCGCAATGGGTTTCAAAGATCTTGCTGAAAACCGGCTGTATCTGTTCCAGCATGTCCGACGCCAGCATTCCCCTTTGCTTTACTTTGAAGGCCAACGCGTTCGATTCCCGGATCAATCTCGACGCGGCGTAACACGCCACTATCGACGGCGACAGGGCGCACTCGCTGGTCCCCGCGGAGATGGCCCACCACCAGAACACCGCCAGTGCGCCGGACAGGAGGTCCCCCTGGCCGCCGCATCTCCTTCCGGAACCGGCTAATCCGCACGACACGGTCTCGGTGCCCTTGTGACCGTCCACGATCACGTCCTTCGCTCCCTTGTGCAGTATTATCACGTTCCTCCCGAGAGTCTCCGCCACGTGCTTCACGTCGGAGACTTTGACCATCGGGGCGGGCGCGACGGACCTGTCCAGCACCGTCTTGACCAAACGGCTGAACTCCATCGCGTTGGGCGTCAGGATGACGCCGGGGTAGTCCTTGACGATCTCCGGCTTCTGGCAGACCAGGGACAGACCGTCCGCGTCGATGACCAGCGGCTTCCTCGCCTCCCGGCAGATCGCTATCAGTTCGACGATCGTTTTGAACACCCTCTCGTCCCTGCCGAGCCCGGGCCCGATCAGGATCACGTGCAGCCGATCGAGCCACGGCTTTATCTGCTTTATCGCGTCCTGCTGGTCCAGGACCGGGTGAACTATCGGCTCCGGGCTGAACGATTTAATGGGAACGCTGGCGTCCCGCGCGCAAAACACGTGGACGAGATCGGCGCCGGTCCTCAGCGCACTCATAGCCGCGAAGTACGGCGCCCCCGTGTACTCGGCGCTGCCGCCGAAGATCCCGATTCTGCCGTCCTGACCCTTGTGCTTGCTACTGATCAAACTCGGCACCACCTTCCGTATGCCCTTCAGCATACGCTCGTCCATGGACGACGATGCGGACATCGTGGACATTGATACAAATACGATGTAACGCCTGCAGACAAAATTGCGGATAACAAGTGCCATTCTTGAGACACAAAGAAAAATATCTCTTTAAAGATATCTCGACGTACATACGAGCTGCGCGTACGTCGTCGGAAAATTATAAATAAATTCCTTTCATGAGGAAAAAAAAGGCAGTATGAAAATTATACAGATCAATCAAATTGTCTTTGTTCTTCGAGTTTTGCTTTATCTTTACCTGCGATAATAACTGATAAAATTATTTCTTGGTGTCTCTTCGATAAAAGATGTCGAACGCGATGCACAAATGTTGCAAAACAAAAATCTATTTCTTATTTATTATTGCAATAGGGCTCGCAATAAATCTTGTGTTAGAAGTATCAGACCGAGTCTGATTAATTGACACTATTGACACTATAATTTACAAATTTCGTTACAAAAGAAGACAGTCGTAAATAATATTGCGAGACACGAACGTAACTGAGAACGAACTCAAGTCGACGTATCTTTGTCCTGTTTATATCGGCCAATTAGCATACCGATTTATCAAAAAGTTGACGAGTCAGGCACGAAAGCGTCGCACCGATATCACCGCGAGACGCAATACATTTCGTGCGCGTAATACATTATCATACGTTATAATAACAAAATTTTCTTTAAACTTAAGCACAATGTATGAAAAAATCGTAATGGACAAAAAAAAATAAATCTATAATTTTTTTTATAGGATCAAGTATTTTTTCGTTGCGATCAAAGAGAAAAGATTTGCATTCGCGTTCTCGACAGCATGATCGCGGCTTCCTCGCGAGAAGAACGAAGTGGAACGAAGCAGCAATGCTCCGAAAAACGCGGAGAGATCAAACTCCCGTGATCCGTCACCCCTGAAATAGGTTAGAACGCCTCGACCTTAAGCCTACATTTGAGGCTCGCGACTCGCAACAGGCTCGCAAATTGGACGTCAGAATTCGACCAATCGAATGACGTCATCTCAATTACGCCTCGACCCGATTGGTCGAACTTAACCTCCAATTCTCGGTCTACGGGGGGCTGATACAGGCTTCAGACCCTCTTTCTTCCGTCGAGCACGTTGTGCTTTAGCCGCATCCTGGTTCCTGGAAGTCAACGGGGCAGGATATTCCTCGGAAAGGATGAGTCTCGGCAAGGTACTTGCGAAAATTCTACTTCAATTTAATGCGATTTCGGAGGAATGTATGAAGTTTTTACGATAAATGCTTTTTTTAACCTTCGTAATGTGTAACAAATTTTCCTCCACGGATCCACACATGTCTGGCAATTATATGGTGGCAATTATATGGTGGATTCCGCTAGGATTCGCGATCTTTCATACACATTAATGTCTCGATCTCGAAATTTTCTCAGATGTTGACGACGAACGCGAAGATAATCAAGAGCAGCGGGGCCGACCCCGACCCATTCGAGGTTAGCGTTGGCCAAGCCCTCCTCGAGCTGGAGATGAACAGCGATCTGAAGTCGCAGCTGAGGGAGCTCCACATCACGAAGGCGAAGGAGATCGAAACGAATAATAAGAAGGTAAAGTCTCGTTTCTTGCACTAGTTACCTTTTTTTTTCAATATGTTTTTATTAATTTTAAGCCTCGAGTTTGTGCTGTTTTCTATTTTTAATTAAGGTATTCTTCGAAACGGACCGTTCTTGCATCTTATATCTCTTTCATTCATAATCTTCAATTTTTCAATTAACTTTTTATCGTAAGATAAATCAAAGCATCTGTGAGATAAGGATAAGAATTACAGTGCTTTCGGACGGAGTGGATTTAATCACTCCGAGAGCGATTAATGATGTCGCATGCTCTATTTTAAATTTCTGATTGGACGAGAAGAGCATGTGACGTTATTAATCGCTCTCGGAGCATTCAAACCCGTCCCGTCTGAAAACGCTATTAGAATCGAAAAGATCTCAGAATTTGAACAGTATGACTGCTCTGACACAGAACCATATGTTAGCCCTAGATTTCTGTGCTTTACGTATTTGCAATTGTGCATATACAGATTGTAGATTGAATTAACTTTACTGAAGATTTTCTCATTTACACTTTGCTATATAGTGCTATATTCTTTTTGAAAAAAACCATATTAAGACAGATCTCTGTTTTCTTACAGTCGATCATTATATACGTACCTATGCCAAAGCTGAAGGCTTTCCAGAAGATTCAGACACGGCTGGTACGCGAACTGGAGAAGAAGTTCTCTGGGAAGCACGTGATGTTCATCGGCGAGCGTAAAATCTTGCCCAAGCCGACGAGGAAAACTCGAACCAAGAACAAGCAGAAGCGTCCTAGGAGGTAAAAAAGGAAAATGACTAGAATTAGATAAAAATGTTATTTAGGTTTTTAGTGGAATTTAGAATAGAACGTGATTATATCAGTATGTCATTAATGGAATCATCAATAGGATCTTGCGTACAAACGTGCGATTAATGTTCTACAACGCATTTTTTTTTTCTTTCAGCCGCACGCTGACTTCGGTTTACGACGCGATATTGGAGGATCTAGTGTATCCTGTAGAAATCGTTGGCAAGCGTATCAGAGTCAAACTGGACGGGTCGCAGCTCATTAAGGTCCATCTCGATAAAAATGAACAGACGAACATCGAGCATAAGGTAATATCATTTATTCCACGTGAAGTGTCACTTCTCTTGTGTGTCATTTGACAACAGATTGCTACATATTTCGATATTGTCTTTCGACAGGTCGACACCTTCGCCTCAGTTTACAAGCAGCTGACTGGACGAGACGTCACGTTCGAATTTCCCGAATCTTATATATGATAAATGTAAGAGGAATAAAAGTATTTTAATCTACCCTCTCGTTCGCACTTTTTGCCTGTCATTATTTGAAGAATTATTAGTTTATTAGTTAGATCGTTGGAATATAGAGACTTGGGAAATTCTCAATGAAATGGCTCATAGGTGATAGCAAAAAGATAAGAAATCACTGCAGAAAAATCGAATCAAATGTATAATGCTCTAATATATGATATTCTTCATTGGGATCATTTAAATTGTCTATGCAACAATTCAGATTTTATTTAAGTATCTTCAAATAATTAAATAATAATAACTTTTAAATTGTATCACATTTATTTGTGGTGAAGTGCCCGCGATTACAATCTAAGGACTTTGATAAGGAATTTTCCCTTCTTTTTCTCTGCTTTATTCAAAACGAAATAAGTACACATATATATTTTTTGCAAGCCTTAGAAAAAGAAGGACAACAGAGATCACGAAGCACGTGGTATAAAATAAAAAAAGAAGTGCAAAAAGTGCAATAAGCAGGTAATGCCGGTAATGTTGGTATGACATTATGACAATTCCAGCAACATGGCGTTCACGCTTTGGACACTCTTCGAAGCAACTCTGTTATGCTTGAACGCGATCTGCGTTCTGAACGAGGAAAGGTTTCTCGCCAAAGGTGACAATTAAGCACGCATTCATTATCTTTATTTATTTCAATTAGCCCGTAATTGTACATTCTTCCAACGTAAAAATAAAAATAAAGACTAATATTGTAGGTTATAATTTTGAAGAATAGTTCCCTTTTATTTTTTCCTTTTCAATTTATTATATTTATTATTAGTCGGGGATTAATCGAGAAATTAATGTCGAACGCTTTTATTACAGTTGGCTGGGCGTCGTGGCAAAATGTTCAAGGATTTGGAGAACCGCCGACGGCCAAATCGCAAATGTTGAACCTCATCAAGTCCATACGAACCGTGATGAGGAGTAAATATCATAAAAGACTAATGCCTCATTTAGCATCGTTGCAAAACTTTTCTACATAACGATGCGTTTGTTTTCAGTTCCTCTGATATTCTTCAATATCTTGACATTGGTTGTAAAGCTCGTGCTGGGCTGATATAAGGAAAAGACTGTGTGTACGAATGGGATGCGGTATGTGCCAGTTGAAGTGCTGAAATTGAAAATGAGATGTGTATACAAGGGGATCTATTAAATTATAATATTTTTACTTTTACAAGTAGTGTTTGTCCTACGTGTAATTTATGCCGTACGTCGGCATGCGAGAATGGATTACAAGTGGAGCCTTTTGTATAAAGCAAGCAATAATATATAATATATATGTATATATATCTTTTTTACGTTTTGTTGAACTTACAATAATCATTTCTTCAATTTAAATTTATAATAATAAATTACTATTGTTTGTTTTATAACTTATGTCCAAGTATAAAGACATAGCTTGTACAAATTTTTATTTATTGAGATTGCTAAATTTAAAAACGCGAGTATAATTGTTTACTCTCTAGGTATGCAATGATTTAAATTTATAAATCTTAAGAATTCAATTATTCTTGTAACATTATAGATTATTATTTTTGAAATATCTGTAGATTGAAATGTTCTTGGTCAATTCTGCGGGTCGTTATCACTTGCGCATATGCGATTTCAGGTATCGATTACTCGCTGACTCACGAGAGGCCGGTAGTGTCGGCGAACCACTTCAAAATTCGCAATCCTGTATCACAGATGGAGCTACATAGCGTTGTACTGTGTGGTCGCGTCATTCGAGATTCGAGCCTCTTGAGTAAAAGAAATTACATTTGCTTGTTCTCCCGACGACTAGCCATCGAAAGCGATCGAAAACGTTGATAGTAAGTCGTATTGATATCTCTATCAACTTTTGTTAACAAAAAAATAAACAAAACCAAATATTAAATGTAATATTTGGTCATATAGTAATATTAAATACGCAACATTCCAAACAGCGTCTTCATTTTGGAAATCGAGACGCGAGCTCGAATCGCGCAGAAGTTCCTTTTAATCTCTTTACTACTAAAAATATATTCAGTCAATTCTTCCCGCCGTTTTGTCACCTGCATCTGCAAAACCGGAATCGCGCAAGCAGCTCGAAAGGATTAAACAAACCGGTTTAAAAGGATATACGTCTTGCATATAATTCTGCGAGTTAGGCAGTCGCGTTTATGTGCGCCGCACCGCGCTCGAACAGCTGGAGGCGAGCTGCAGGTAGCTCCCAGGTCGTAGCTTCCGCTCATTTCCATTTCAATTATTCCTTCCCGGATCATTTGAATCGTAAATCGCCTGGTCAACGGCCAGCGCGTAAATAAATCGCCGCGGAAGACCGCGGATCGGGCAGTGTATCTAATATATGCCGGTCGCACACAGCGCTTTCCTCTCCTTCGCGGATTTACGAACGAGGATACATATATATATATAGCTCGGGAAAAGAGCTCGATGATTTTTCCCCAACTTTCTCCCCTTCCTCGTCAGCTTTCTCGGGATGAAAGAAGATAAGCCACCGCGGTGCCGGGACAATCAATGACTGCATTTACACCGTGTGTGCTTCGATCGCCGCGCGCGCGCGAGCAAGTTAAAGACTTGTTAGCATTATTAAACGTGACTTGCGCGAACGGCGCTCGCACAATCGTGCGCAACGCCTGACTAACATTTCCTCCTTATTTCTACCCTTTTTTTTTCCGTCGTCGCCGAAAGCATGTCGTGGAGTTATCACCTAAGGTTTTTCGCGACGAGAGAAATTGAAAGTCATATCTTTTTTATTTAATTTTATTTAAGCCGCAGGCTTTTTTAACGACCCATATAATATATGAGGGTAAATTATTTTTATTGCGTGAGATTGCGATTAATGCATATATATAATTTTTATGTTCGAACCTTATAGTGGCGTTAATGCGTCTCGTCGACTTTGAAATAATGTAATCAATTGATTTTATTTCGAATATGTCGCGGCACTGCTGCAGTAGTGTCATATCTCGAAAAATGACAATTTTGAGTTATTCATTGGAAAAGATGGATTTTGGCGTGTACTTTTATCTGGTGATGAATAACTGAAAATTGTCAATTTTCGAGATATGACATTATTGCAGCAATGCCGCGATATGATTCGAATTAGTTCTCCCATATAGTTATTCGTTTACATTATCTTCTAATTCTATTTAGAAAATTATATATATATATATATATTTTTTTTTAAATGAATAATCAATCGAATGAGATTACGTTTGCATTTATTTATTCTTAAAAATTGCATTTATTTATTATTACAGATTATCTGTTCTGGAAATTTTGAGTAAGCCAAAGTCATCCGACGTCCGCTGGATATTGCCGCAGCATCGACTTCAGACCGAAGAATTTACGGACGTAAGGAGCACCGGCGTGATCCTGCGTGAGGTAATGTTATAACGGCACGGTCGTTTTTACATCGATCCCCAACGGCGCGCACGTTTACCGAGATGCAACGTTGTCGATCACGGTTGTGCAAGAGCGTCTCTCTTGCCCGATTTTACCGTACATCGCAACGCTCCTTGCTGACGGTTCGCAATCGTCCGGTCCGCTCGATTCAGGACACGCGCGCAGCGCCGATTCACCGCGTGCTCTTCACTTGGCTCCGTTCACCCGCGGCAGAAGAAATAACTTGCGAAAGCCCTCCCCTTCCTCCCCGCTCGAGAATCCGTCCGGTGCGGCGGCTCTTCGTCGCGCGGAGGAAACGCGAGGATTGGTACCGTGTGAGATTGGCGTGTAAGCGTGATTAGCACAATTTTGGGAGTCGATAGTTATAATAACGATCGCTCGGCTACTGCAGTGTTTCCGATTAGCTTCCACTATAGCGACTCTTACTACTGTGAGTAAGTAACACGAGAGTTCCTTTTTCGGGGTGAGAAAGAAAGGAGAAACGACGCGTCGGATTCAACCGGCTCGTCGACTCTAAACATCTTTCTATAATTAGGTTGTAAAAAGTATCATCGGACATAATGAGAAAGTTTGTATTGTCTTAAGTGATTTAAATGGGCTTTTACCATCATTCTTTAATATTATTCCCGCGGCGCGAGAGGATCTCATCTGTCTGTGTCTCCTTCTCGCCGCGGGAAGTTCGCGCAAAATGAAATCACTCTGCCGTCGGGAACAACACATGTCGTATCGCCGGATTGATTTATCGCGAAGTACGGCATCCAATTAAGGTAACGCGCAATCTAACGACGTCGCAATCCTACGCAATTCTGCGTCGCACTTGCGTCGCAGTTGCGAAAAAAAAAAACAACAAAAAGAAGAAGACAAACGGGAGGAGCGGATGGGAGCAATTCGTCGGAGGTGTCCTCACGATTCTTTCCTCAGACCGACGCCAAGCCGTGCGCCAGGGTGAGCCATTGTTGGGCAATACGCGCGTGTTACTCCGCGTGCCCCTGCCAGAAGTCCCGTGCAGAAACCCGAGGACCGTGCGGCGAAAGTGCGCACGGGGGGAGGACACCGGCAGCCATTGTACATACATACGTCCGGTCCATTATATTTTACGCGGCTCGACAAATCTGCTTCCCATAATTGGAAACGCCGGCACTCTGTTGGTACATCGCGCGCTTCCTCCCCCGACGCTCCTCGCTCCGCTTCGCGTGAGCGTGCCGATCGAAGCCGTCGTCTTGCGACGTTTAAATGATCCGTTCCGAAACACTCGAGCTTTCCTGTTTCTACGAGCTTTCGTTTTCTCTTCTATCGATCACTGACGCTTTTAGAACTTTGGATCCTCTCCAGTCCTTGGCTGAAGGTTTCTCTTTCAACGTCAAATTGAAATAATTTCTGAATATTATCGTAATAAAAATAATGTTATTGTAATGAAACCGATCGTAATGAAATCGATGATTTTCGAATGATAATGTATATTCATTGTAGAAGATGATGTCAAATGAACAAACGATTACAGGTACGTTCCATTTTTCCAGAGTCCTTATCAGTACTAACAATGTAGATCCTAAAGAGATATCTTATCATTGTTTGGGAAACAGACCTTATCTGCTTTTATGCTAAACGGATTATTAAATGGAAAGTCACGCTCATCTGGATAATTCTTAATTAAATATTGATGCATTGAAATATATTTGTATCAAAATTACATTAAGATCGAAAGAAAAATTTCTCGCATAAAGTGAATCAATTATTTACGTATTATAACAAAAATCACGAAAAATCTAAAAAAATGTACTGTCATAAATTTGATAAAATTACAAATCAGTTTTGTAATTTTATCGCTTTGATAGTTTTAATGTGACTTTAACCGCATTGTTAAGTTCTCATTTAATTTATTCTACCAACTGAATTGTATTTAAACGACTACATTTTCTCCCGAATGCGCATTGCTATAAATTCAATAGAAAGTATATAGAAACCAGTCTACTTTTCTTACTTTAATGATAATACATTTTTGATTGTTGTTGCGATAACAGCACAATTAATTTCTACAAATCGCCTCGATTTGTTCTCCAACTTTTAAAGAAAGAGATATAGCGCGAGGAGCAGGCGATGCAGCCAAGGATATCGTAACTGTTGTGTACACGCGATCGAAGTGAATCGTGTACCAGTACAGTGTAACTGGAGCGTAGATCATCGCGCCATATATTTCTCTCCTTTCGCACGTCGGCGGACGGAGCGTCTCTTGCAAAATTCCACGGAGAGACTCTCACACAACGCGTTGCATTGCGCCTCACCGTCCTCTCCGTCCTCTGTGCTCCGATCTCACCGTATAGGTACCCCCTGACGCGAAATCGCGCGCGCGAGCGAGCGCACGGCACTTTCCCCGCCGTGGACGACGTCGCAGGCGTGTAACACACGTAAGGTCTTTCGGGACAGATAGCCTGGCCGATACCACGCTTTCCTCCGTCTCCCACGGAACCATTTTTAATAGGCACTTTGTAAGTGGAGTCATCACCGTGTCTCCGCGCGCCTCGCCATGCACGAAAGTGCCTGTACGCTATATACTACAGCTTCGTATGTACGACGCGACGCTTCGCTTCTTCGCGCGAATAGTCGTGTTATTACCTTCGGCAGGAGGCACGCGGGGAGAGATCGCCTTCGGGAATTACAAAATCGTCCGCTTCTCGCTGTTTCACGCGTATTTCGATCCCGCCTAGGTTTTTCACAATCGCGCAAACAGTAACCATCACGCGCGGTACATACCGCATGTTCTCCGAGTATCGCTGGATTATGCAGACAATTAGAGAGCCTCCGAGTTATGTATACATTGCATTATTTTATACTTCCTATTTTTCATTCCTATAACTCTCTGTACCGCGGTTTTTACGCGTCCTCTTAATGACATGAAGTAAGTTCTTCACAGGACAGATGTTACCGCATCTAATTGTAAGTATAATAAAATACCTGCACAGTGTTTTCCTTCAAACTAAACTGTATACTCCTTTCAATTTACGTGCAGGCAAGTAGTTTCTACGTGTTTTCTACATTTGACGAAAACACGCTAGAAATAAATTTCTGCTGACACGAAAATTATTCTAAATGTATTTCCCGTCTTGTATTTACCTTTCTTGCTCCCCAGTTCCGCTATAAACTCGCATTCGCCCTTTATCAACCTGTCATCACTTCTTCGCGAAGACGCTCGACAACGCGGAAATAATACATCGTGTGTCGATCGTGCGGAGAATAGCAACGTCGTGGCAGAGCAATTGTCGACAATCGCTTTACGGAGATACACTTTATGCAATCTGACGGGGAGAGGATTGACTGTAACTTCTTATTCATCGACGTGTTACATGAACTCGATAAAGTCATTCGACAGCTTCTCGGCATTATCGACGATAAATGTTTCACTTTATTGGCATTCACTCTCTTACCTAACTCGTTCCAAGCCCGTACCATTTAAACGTAATATCAGCGTTTTCCCGTTACGTAACGCAACGGATCTATAATTTATGAAATTTTTCTTAGGTGCGCGCGCGCGGTCGCGTAAATACCGTCAATCGCAATATCGCGCGGAGGTACACGCGAGGAATCCGGAGAAAACCTATGTGGTCGTGAATCATTTGTAAGTTAAATACTTAAATTGCAAAAAAAAGGAAAGTAATTCCGCCGATAATTATGTTTCCGCCAACAGGAACATTCATTTTTTTTTTGCCTTCTCAGAAAATGCAACGTTTCAGATCTCCGTATCTGCTTGTCTGTGTACATCCTTTTAAATTTTGCATGTTTTCATTTTTTTATCTCGGTAATTAACGATATAATTTCTTTAATGTATCGACGAACCGAAAGAGAGCCCGGCCTGTTTGCATTTTTCGTATCACTTCTCGCTATTATATATATGCGCCCGCCTGATCTGCGACGTGCGCGAATGCATGCAGTTAAATTTCGGTGCGGTGACTCAATCCGAGACCGACCTCGCGATTAACTTTTAATTTTGCGGTGCCCGCAGCTCGGTAACCCGCAGTTTTGCGCGGTATCGCGCCACTTATTCTTCAAATGACTTTCATACGAAGTATTTCCAAATCATTTCCGACAGACATTTCCGGGACAGTCGCGCGCGCGCGCGGCTGCGGCGAACGTGCGATCGTAAATTTGCGATGCGACACATCTATTGTCTTCCCCGGGACTTAAAATTGCTCATTCGTTATTCACGGAGAAAATCCGCAATCATTGTAATGATTTGTCGTTGTGCGTGTCGTGCGCGGGACGCACGGGATTGCCGTTGATGAATGTCGCCATAAATGTCTGCGACCGCTACCTGCAAAACATGTTAATTAAGCGTTTTCGAGATAGCGATGACTATAAACGATACTCCTCGTTCAGAATGATTAACTAATCCACTAAAAACGCATGTCGTACCGTTTTCTCAGCTTTTTCTTATAGCTTCTCGTCTTGATCGTAATCTCGATCGAGAGACAGCTGTGTACCGTGAGCGAGAAGAATGTCGATCCTTTGATTAATTAAATTTAAAAAAAAATTGTCATTTAACCAAATCAACGGAGATTTATTATACAAGTTGCGACAACGTAACGTTAATTGAAGTGCCCATTTTCGCTAAAGAGCGCAATTTTTTATTGCCGAAGGACAAACTTTCGATCTTATAATAACATTCCAGAGAAAATAGCCAGTCGCATACCAAACCGTATAGCGTCTTCTCGTACAGCACAGAGATAGTTTTCCGGCATGAAATCTCTCCGAAACGTACACAAGATAAGTTCATATACTACAAGCGACTTACGTCACCTCGCTGTAATCAAGAAGGGGAGCTCGGAGAGCTCAGATGCTAATCTCAGGCATTACTCGAGCGGGAAGAGAAGCGCGCGAATCGTCCCGTAATCGTGTGTATGTGTGATGGCAGGAAACTCCACAAACGCGTAAAGAAAAGAAAAAGCGAGATCTCTCTCTCTCTCTCTCTCTCTCTCTCTCTCTCTCTCCTGTCCTTCCGGATATCCTTTGCCCATGGGGCAATTCGAGGATATTTCACGTCGTCTCGACGCGCGTAAGCAAAGCCACTTTCGAATCTTTACCGATGACCAAGATCCTTCTCTCGCTGTTTCTCTTTTTTTTCTGTCTTCCCCACCCTCATTCTCACTCTCTTTTTCTCTTTCGTAACACGATGCCCTTTTGCGAGGCGGCTCTTCTTCGCGTGCACGGCGAGAATTTACATGTCCAGATGGGAGAAGTCTCCTCTACTCCAAGCGAAGATAATGCCGATACCCGCTGGCTCGCGGGCTTGCGAGTGAAAGGAGAAAGGCGCCGATCTCTCGAAATACGTCGACGAAGAGAAAGAGAAATGATCGGATGTGTCTCTTCGGGAGATACGGCGACACGGAAAAAAACCGAGTCGACCCGGGGGACGAGAGTGCCTCCGGGCGACGGTTGTGGGGTCATAGAACGAGGGGGGCGTAGAACCGTGATGGGATCGCGATAATCGCGATCGTCGGCGAAGAGGTGAGATTAGGAATGGAGCAGAGAAGAGAGCAGCGAACACGCCGGAAGTGAAGCGATCCGCTGCACGACAGAGGACGAGAAGCACACGGGATTTCAACGGTGGCGACGTTCTTTTTTTTATTCTTTTTTCTACAAAAAAAAGCCTTTATACAAGTACAAAAAGATGCGTGGTTAAAGAGTAGAGCGTTATGTATAAAAAATAGTGTGTATTTCGTGGCGTCGTGTGTACGTGTTGCTCGGACACGGCGGCGTCCGCCTTTGTAATCCGGATCGCTTCTTCCACCAGGCTGAAACCTCCTTCTCCGCGGACGGATTAGAGGTCGAATATTCCAGTGCGAGATCGACTTTTCATTACTCGCGCGTAATGAATCCTCCTGGTATCCGATCCGTGCGACATCCTTTTCAGGGTTGAGAAAGAAATGCGGTTCCAGAAACTGGCTTCGGATATCCCCGAGCCGAAGATCTCGGTCGAGTCGATTCTCCGAACGAAAGAGTCGGGCCGCGCTTACAACAGCGGACGCCGCGGTACAGCGACGGTGGAATTTTATGTACAAGGCGCGCTGTGATACCGCGCCGATCACGTCTTCGGCTTGTCGGCCTCCTCCTCCTCCTACTCCTCCCGCTCCATCCTCCTTATTTGTAATATGAGTGCCCCGACGAGCGCGCGCGGGCGCAATCGCCGGGGATGAAGTGTGAAGTGTGTCTGCGTCAACGACTACGCTTGCCCCCCCTCCCTCCCCTTATCACTGATCCTCGATTTTTCGCGCGCGGACACGACCGGGCGACGATTGATGCGATTTTGGTACGATAGACTTCGGCACCGCGCCGACCGCCCAAGATCATCTCGAGCGACCTCGTTCCTCCCTCGTGGAAATGAGGGGGAGGAAAAGAGAGTTTAAAAAAAAAAGGAAGAAAAACTGGCCACGTTCACTCCCGCCGGAACCCCCGGACTTGTCAAAGCGACGACCGTTGGATTCCCGACAAGTCAAGGGGCCCGGGGGGAAGGATGCTGGGTCCGCGTGCGCTCGGCGCTATCCCTGGGAGACCCTGACCCGTTGAAGCGACGACTATTTGATTCCCCAACGGACCAGGCGCCGTCCCGTTGTGGTCCCCGGTTCTCGCTTCGCGCGTCTTTGTCCTTCGTTCTCCGTCTCCTGACTTTGCCAATCATTGGTCCATTGACAATGGTTGGCCGAAGGACGCGAAGGGCGCTCTGGAGTCGCGAGGTGAGCCGGGATAACGCGGATAACACGACGATCCAGCTCCGTTCGAACGATCTTCGAATGTTGATCTGCGATTCCGCGCGACAGTCTGACCCTGGCATCGACGACCTTCCGAGTTGCGAGCCCGAGTCACTTGGTCCGGCGATACGTAAACAGCTTGCGATCTTCCAAGTATCCCGTGATCTTCTCCGTAAATCTCTCTGTGCGTTGGCGTGTTTCGGTTACGTCTCGGAAAGTAGTCGTTGTTGTCGGCCGGTGCCATTATCCACTCCCTCTATCTCTCCCATTCTCTCTCTCTCTTTCACTCGCTCATTCTCTCTTTCTTTCATCATCATCATCATCATCATCCAAACCAAGGTGATTCCTTAGAACGGCGCACCATAGCCACTGGACGGCCGGCTGGGCGCTCCGTAACTGCTGCTGGGTCCGCTGGGGTAGCCACCGCCACCCCCGCCCTGGCTGACCTGGTTGAATTGGGCCACTTGAATGGCCTGCCTGATGCCTTCGAGGTCGATGCCTACGACGCGGGTCTGATAGCTAGGCACGCCATACTGCGGCGACGGGGCGCCGTATTGCGACGACGGGGCTCCGTAGCTGGAGCTAGGAGCGGAATATCCACCGCCTCCGCCGCCGAATCCACCACCGGACCCTTGGGACTGCAGCTCCTCCTTCAGGAGGATCTGACGGATCTGCTCGAGGAGCGCGCTGTCCACGGAAGCGCCCTCGTTGGTCTGGAAGCCGGTGGACACCTGGGTGTAGCCGCCACCGCCGCCGCCGCCAAAGGAGATGCCGCCGCCACCGCCACCGAAGGAGATGCCGCCACCGCTAGGTCTGCTGTAACTGTAGCCGCCGGACACAGGCGGCTCCGCCAGGGCGAACCCTGCCAGACCGACAATCATACACTGTAACACAGAAAAGAAATGTATTAAGTACGACGATGGACTTTTAATCTTTTGATGTGGCTGTAGCTACACAATCAAATTATATTACACACACGCACATGCTGATGCACATATTCGCTGATGCATAGCAAATGCATTGCATATTCCAAATTGTTATATTCAAAATAATACAGAGTGACCTCACACATTTGTCAGGGTATCCAGGTTTAAAAGTCAATTTAAAGGTTTAAAAAGCTGGATTTTTAGAATGTTTATCATAAGAAGGTTTTTAAGTTATATTTAATTTTTTTTCTGACGATGTAGATCTTATTTATGTAATACTCTCTCTCATTTACGTTTACGACTTACAATTGCATATTTTTGAGATTTTAAAGATAAAGAGCTTTGAGATTAGATTTTTTATTTATAAAAACATACATCCAATATTACATGATTATCATATGTCGCGTAATTAAAAGAAAAAATAAAGTATACTCTCTAAATTTTCTGGAGTGAATTTTACTCCAAAAGAGTGAAAAGCCACTCCAGAAAATTTAAAGAGTTGAACAGTATAAAAATATATACGTTTAAGAGTTAAATATTTCGACAAAAACTTACGCATTAGAGATTATTTATTCAACTTCAAATTTTTCAAGATTTTATTTATTAAATCTAATTTTTCGAACAAATTTAACTGGAATAATTGTGAAAAGTCAGCGGCTAGCGATTCCTTTGACAAATGTGAACGAAATCCAAAGAAACGTGAATGAAAAGGGAAAGCACTACCGGATTTCAATCGCCTGTCGTCGATTGATGTGAAAATTCGCGTCACGCGAAATTAGAGGCAGTAATGGAGCAATGGAAGAGAACGCAAAAATTCAGAAAAAGCACTATTTTTTTCTACCGACCAGGATTTCGATCACTTGTGTCCCTCTCCCTACACTCTTCCGCTCGCGATTTCTCCCGCGTGCGCACGCATACACCCGTGCACCACATTTCCCTATACTCGCTTTCTTTTTTCCTTTTTCGAGCAGCCCTCTTCCCTCTTCACCTCGCACAAGTATCGCTTCTTAACGTAAAAGTAATGAGAACAAAAAGGCGTGCTTACCGCGATCAGAGGATTCATGTCGGCTTCTGCGATGCCGCCTCAGTTCTGTGACTCCGTGGAAGGTAGACCGGAGTCATTTATACCCCCGGGAGAAGCAGGGGGACATACGTGCGGCCCCCACGAAGAAGAGACGGGGGCCTCTCGAGTGAGAGTAATTCAGTTGTGAGACGATTCTCTCCCTCTCCTCCCGACCTCGTCTGCTTCTCTCTTTTACTCTCCGTAGACCCCGAACATCCACCTGTCCTCCTCGCCGCAGGATCGCCGATATACTCGAGATTTCGGACGGTCTTACTCTTGCGAAACTCTTGGCCTCCCGAGTCCCTACTTGCGTCCTAGACCTAGACTCCTTTAGTCGAGTGCTTTGTCGTAACGGCGATCCCGTCAAGAATTTTGCTTCGGCTATCTTCGGCCGGAGATCGATATGCATGTATCTTTTATATTTCCTTTTTTTTTTTAATGATCGTGACAATATATGGGCGGTTACGGCGAACAGAAAGCGATACGAATATATCTTACATTCGTAAGTTGCGCCAGAGAAATTAATTTTTATTCTGGGAATTTTTCTGACAATTGTTCATTTGTTTATTCCGCACGGATATGTAATTGTATTAGAATCGCTTACTTGTATTTGAAAAATATTTCTTGTTTATTGAGCTTTATCTTTCAATCGAGGATTAAGAGAGATTATTGTAATGATTTTTTGTAAATTCTTTCATACATCGCTTTTTTCATAAATTAAATATAAATCATAAAAAGCATGATAAAAGCGAGATGGAAATACATTCTTGTCTCCAAATTTTTCTTGGAATGTAAAATGGAATAAGATTAGGTAAACATTGCTTATTGCAGCATTGCGTTGCGACATGTGTGCGCCATAATAAAATGCTGTACGTGCGCCATTCTGCTACATTAATTTTGCGCGATAGGAATAAAATTTTCGTTGCAAGAGACGTTCTATTTAAGATTTTACCTTGACACGTCATCATTGCCAGTGAATATGTTCTTCCATTGTTAGATAATACAACCAAATTGATGTCGTCACGTATTCGAAAGTTAGATAGGGGTAGATATTCAATGACGCAATTGAGCTCTTGGCGCGTCGCCACGTTATTCATTAGCCTCGCCATGCATTAAACCTCGCAGTTGTATTCATTCGCGGTATTTGTAACGATATACAACCACCACGCATGCCAAACATTTCCAGCGAATCATAAAAGAATTAATTAAGAAAAACACCGGCGTGAAATGGTTCAGAATTCATGCGTTACGTCACGCAAGATAAATTCTCTTCCCACTTTCTTAAAAATATCTCTTTAATTATAAATAAATCCTTCACGTAAAAGTACCAATCCAAATTAATTGACGTGAAAATACAATGAAACAAAAGACAGTTCTAAACATGGGCAAAGTTATTTACGCGTCAATTAGCAGTTTCTGCGACTTTATGGCCGCGTATGCTAATAAGCTTCTAGTTCATAAATATTATTTATTCGACGAAGCTGCGAGAGAACATTGCGTAACGGGAGCTGAACTTAAAACATTACGTAACAGGTTTTCTTTGTTTGCGCGATGCATAGCACCGGATGTGCACCGAACCATTTCCTCCATTGAACATTTCCGTTAATCGTTTTACGTCGTAAAAGTATTTCTTTTTTTGCATTTACAGCTTGTTCTTGCACCAGTACGTAAAAAAATGAACGATTCGTGATTTCATTTTGCTTAATTAATTAATTTTATTTATTAGAATCAGCGAAAAGTATTGTATCTGAATTTTTTATACATTTATGATTAAATGTAAATATAGTATTATTTTAGTTTTAATGGTATTAATATATTCGCTAAATTAATATTTCGCTGATAAATACGTAAATTATAAAAATATCGTTGTTCTGAATAAATACATAAAATTTCCGTTAAATTACAAGGAATTAAAATGTTATAATCCGTGCAATTTTCAATCTGTCAGTTTTTTAATACCGATTATTCGCAGAACAAAACTGTTTAGACGATTGATAATAACCAAAAGATTATTCTGCATAGGTCACGCTGGAAGAAAGTTAGCGGCAATTCCGAGAGTGCTTGAGGTCACGCTGCAACAATCACGTCACTCTCGATCCAGCTAATGACGCATCTACCAGAGGAAAGGAAGATCCATTGACCTCCCCCCCGCTTTTATTTTAGTACATCTTCGAGCAGAGGAGCTTCGCGGAGCGTTGGGTAAGTTTCATGAAAATCTACCTGTGTATCTCACTTAAAATAGAAACAGAGTTGTGATCGAGGTCACATTAGATTTCTCACATCACCGCGTTTCGCCCGTCGACATATCTGCTCCCCTTTGCGTGACTTTAACTTGGTCATTGCCATAGTCAACGTACTTTATTGACATTGCAACAGAGAACATTAATACGTCCTAGTTTGGAGAATGTTTTGGGCAAGGATAACTAGTCCGTGTCGGTTTAGTTAATGAATGACTAGACCGGTTTGCTCGTCGAGAAATGTTTTCGGTTGATTAATTTTGGCACGCACGTGGATTTGATATGCAAATTAGACATCCTCTGACGCTGCGACGTGTGTGTGCTTTGTGTCTCATATAACATCTCACTTATGTCCGTCATAACACTGCACGCTAGTTTTCAACATACAGGCAATTAGTACGGTAATGAAAGAAAGAAATCAATTGAGACAAGCACGCCGTGATATTTTACAATAGTACATTCCACGCGGATGACAATACGTAAAAGAAAAGTTACGAGATGCCGAATGGGAAGAAGTAATTTGTGGTTATTTGTAAGAATACGACCGGACTGCACAATCATCCGGTAGAGCCATCGAGCTCCCGGTCGCAGAAAGAGAGTCTCAGGCATCAGGAAGAAAAGTACGCGCGCGCGCGCGGTTCGCCATCATTGTATCATCCGCGCGATGAAGCTTCCGTGCGTACGCGGATCGACGTAATCATCGATCCACCGCGCGTCTTATGTGCATCAGCGCGCGCGCGCGGCAGCGCGTTGTAGCATAAAATTAAAGTATATTCCCGGTGCATTAACTGCACTTGCCCGGTCAAAGGAAAGGTACGTTCTTGCGCCGATATCCTCCCCGCGGCGGGGATTTTAAACGATAATGATTTCACATAACGTCAGGATGCCTTTTGATCGTTCGCCGGCTATGGCGAATTACATTTTGAAATTAACGCGCGGAGAACATAGGGAACACACGGCTAGAATTAATTGACGTGCCTATCTTCCGCATTAGCGGGATCCAGGCTTAAAATTGTGTAGAGCGACGCGTAACGAAGTGACGGTCGCTCCGACGGACGGTGGTGAAATTCGCCCTACAGGTCTCAAAACCATTGTGATCGCGGCTCGCCGGCTAATCGACGTCCAAAGCGTAATTAAGAGGGTACCCGGTCTGTTGAGTATTCACGCGACGGTGGGAGACTTGTGCAGGCGCCTAATGGAGGAGGAAGTCCATTACGGTCGGTCTAGCAACATAGCGTGTCGGCCAATGCGTCCGGCTCCCATTCCTCGCCTCGGGGAGGGTAGTAAGAGGGGGGGAGGGGGCCGGCAGGCGGGGGTTGGGTGATGGTACTCGCTAAACGAGAGGGAAAACGCTTTCTTCGGCGAGGAATTTAATTATCCGGCCTGTGAACTCTCGACCCACTTCTTCGCGCGTATACAACCCTGTGTATCTGGTCCGCCGTTTCCACCTCCTGCCTCCTTTACTCGCTTTCCTCCTCGCTCCTCTGCTTCGATCCGATTCGCCTGATCCTCCTTTGATCCTTTCCTTTTTGTTTTCTCTTTTCTTATCCCGCGTCTTGTTCGCGCCGCTCAGTTTGGTCCCGCGCTGGCGAAGATCGACGATTACTTTCACGTGTCCTTGCCGTACGCCCGCTACGATGGTATGTATGTACACTTGGAGGTACGCGATTTTGGCGCACGTACGCGGGACTTTTTTTAATGGACAGTTGTGCCTCCGTTGCGTCAGCAGCATTATACTCGATTACGCAAAAATCGCGAGGCAGATGCAATCGCTGACCCGGTCGCCGGGGTCTTCATTCGGTCCTCGTACGCTGGAGAGATATTTTTAACATGGACGCCACTCGCACGTTCAAAGACGTGGTGTAAACAACTCGTAGCAACAATGTTAATATTTCTATAACTGTCATATTTTTGTTATTTATCATTGTATATATACAATATATAATTTTCTATATGTTTTATTTATTATTGAATAAAAAGGGTAAAAAAAACAAAACAACAACATGAACAAAAAACCATTTTACACAAATTTTACTTATATTCTTTAATCTTAAATTTAAAAATTTTTTATTAAAATTTAATTTTTATCAAAAAAAATTAATAGAGGAAAAAGGACGAAAAAAAATTTAAATTCTTGAATATTTTACGAAATATGTTTTCCAATGATATTTATTTGTAGATAATCTTTGGTTACTGATGTCATTTTATGTAAATTTTTATGGATAATTGTAGAGATTAATGTTGAATTGCTTCTGTCAATATATCGTCGCCTAAAGGCATATTAATTTACGAATGCTGGAAACGAGTTATAGGATATGCCTTGACACCCGAGAGAATCATTTTAAATCATCGGTGTGAATGACAATTATTAAACCTGGATAATGTATGGGCCGTGTTGCCACGGTAATGTGTACAGAAGGTACGTATTTTTGTTTGCGGCAGGACAATTTATCCTTGCGAATTTCGTCACTGATCGAGAGAAAGCAAACGTATGCGCGGATAGCGGAAATCAATAATAAAAAAATTCGCACGCACACACGTGCGCGCATCACATTTCGTGGTTCGAAAGAGAGACGTGGTATTCAAAGTAGTAACCTTTTAAGCAAGATTAAAAAATGACGCTGCATAGAATACGATGACACGTCGACTTCACGGTGTTGCTTCGACTGTGTATAATTTGATCGCGCTATTTTTCTACGGTGATTAATCTCCGTTCGGAATTCTCACGGTGATCCGGCGACGGTTCGTGACGTGATGATTTATGGAATCGTGGCCAGTTTTGATATTTGCACTGAATCTCGAAATGATCCTCGTTTCTCACGCCCGCGCTAATCCACTTATTGTTACAGCTAGCGAACTTCGATCATTCAGCAAATGAAATGCAAAATTGATATCGATTCAAAAATATTAGACACACAGTGTCATTGTATAATTATCTTGATTCTGAGATGCTTCTGTGGAGGACTTTGCTTGAAACTTAAAAAGTATTAAAAAAATGTAATTGCATTCGATTACTTAACAAATGTTAATTTAACTGTAATGCTAGCAACTTTAAATTTTATAAAATATAGATATATATAGGATTTTTTTCTTTAGACATAAAGAAAAATGTTACTTAATATAACGGAATTATATTAAATATTGAGTCTTCTGTTTGATCCTATAAGCTTTCCGTTTGAACGCCTTCTCTCTCGATGAAAGCGAACTTGAATTTTCTATATCGCGTTTCATATCAACACAGATATTTCTATCCCGACGTTCATTCTTATTTAGGAATCCTTGAATTTTTAAGTGATTTCTCGGAACAGATGATATGAATGATCGATCGACAGATGGGATGATCCATCGATCTTTCGTGCGTCGCTATCGACGACTTCGAGGCCTCTCACCGTCGCTATCACGATTTCGACTTCCTCGATCTCGATGGCTCGGGTAATATTCCCGAGGCCCTCAGTCCCCTCTCTCCCTCCCTAAGTCACGTCTCGACGTGTGCCGCATCCGCGGTTTCTCGGATATTAATGTTGCAGGGTCGCGCGGAACGAAGGGGGCTCGTCGTGTCGAGCCCGAGCTTGACTTTCGCTCGACGAAACTCCGCTTCTCGTGCCTCTCCTCGCTCTCTCTTTCTCTCTCGCGCGCGCCACCTCGCATCCTCTTCTTGCCGGTTTCCCTCTCGTTCGCGCCGAGGGACTTCCTCCCGAACGGTCGCGACAATTGACTCGATTCGTACCCGGCACATTTCTTATCTCCGATTTCGCCGGGGCTTATCGGCTCGCACCGTCAGGCGGAAGGACCATTCTCCAGCTGCTACGCATACCTCGCACGATCGACTGTGCAATATGTACACGCTCGCGAATTAAAAACTCGTTTCAACGTCGGGGAGTTTTCAGTTTTATTTCTTTGCGACACTTTTAGAATACGAAATACGGTCACCTGAGGCGATCGTTTCCTAATTTTGTTACTCATTGTCGGTAGTTTCAAAATCAGAACTCGTCCAAATTATACCCGAATGCCAATGTAAATTTCTGATCATGTCGAAATAGAGTTTAAATGTCATTTATAATCAATAGAAATAATACAACAGTGAAGGCCGATGTTAGCGAAGATAGAGTTTGGAACATGTAATTTGAAGAATTTTGAAAGTATATATTACACAATTATATTGACATATTTGACGGTGACGATTGATGCAGGTTTGTCATTTTTGTTAAATAAATTTGAAAGCAAAATCGAAATAAAATTGTCACGAGATTATTTTTTCTATTTATTTAGACTAATTTATTACTAATTTTATTTAATACAAAAAACTTGATAAGAAAACGACAAATGACAAAGATTCTTGCAATCTAATACGATACTTTCACACACATACATACATACACACACACACACACACACAAATTGAAATTTTTAATCAATGTTTTAATTTGACGTGCTTTGGAGCCTTGAGAAAAGAGAAAGATATATGTATATAAAAAAGAAAGTCGCAATAGATTCTTCCAGACTTTTCCCCAGGCGAGACGCGAAATCTAACATCCATCCAATAAAAATGTTATATCACGTATATCCTGTAATCGTTACCGGGTTACACACTTTTGCTGCGCGCGATTCCTCTCCCACGAATACGCATCGAATACGATCGGGGTAATTAGCTGCATCGCGAGAGCCTGATTAGCTGCTTGTCCGTCGCAATTACCGTGCAACTTTGCCGCATGACTATCACCCGACTGACCACGACAACTGCCGCGTAGGTTACAGTTCAAACTTTCACAACTTTTTACAACGGCGAGAATTTCGCCGGGGTCTTTTGTACAAAATTCACGCGCCGAAAAGCGAAAGTGAGTGTTGCGCGCGCGATATTACTTTGGGAGAAAAAAAAGAAGAAGAAGAAAAAGAGATGAAGCACGCAATGTAACGCGGAAATATATCTTGGGCCAAGTTCAAGTACGTACGTCAATTTGCGCGGGTGCCGTTTATTTGCGAATTATCGCGGAATTTAGAAAAATTAAGATGTGTATGCAGACACGTCGGGAAATGGCATAATGTATCTTATTACTGAGATAAAATACGCGGTTCGCGTTGTATAATTT